TGCCATGTGCATCTTTTTTGTTGTTGTTGGTTCTAAATTTAGTTTATGTGTATGAGTGTTTTGTCTGCATTTATGCATGTGCACCATATGCTGGTCTCTGCCTAGCATTTGTAGAGACCAGAAGAAGGTTTTGGATCTCTTGAAACTGGAGTTACAGGTAGTGATAGTTGCCATGTGGGTTTTGGGAACTGAACCTTGATTTTCTGCAAGAGCCATTAGTGCTTTTAATCTCTTGAGTCATCTCTTAGGTTTCCATCTCCCACCCTGCCAGCAGACATTTTAAATTGAAAGATACACAACATTTAGATCTGCTGTGGATAGCAGTGAAAGGCACTGTGTTAATGAGAATGGTCAAACTGCCCTGATCAGCGTTAGCACCAGGAGCACCATGCTTTGCTCTCACTCAGAAGTGTCTCTCTGCACTCCAAATGCATCATTTTAGATGTTGTGGTTCTCTTTGTCTTTTCCTCTCTCCTTGTTCATTGATCATGATGTTGGGCCTTTTGTCTACAGCACTGAGGCAAATCAGGTGATGGTTGGTCCAGGGAATGGTTATCTGGTATGCAGTAAGAATAATGAAAGTGTATTTAAGGGTTTTGTGTACACTGGGAATGATTGCATTAACACTGTCAACAATTGATTACATTGAATTTCTGTACAGACATCTTTCTGGGTGTAATGCAATAGTATCTGGCAGTTAAGCTGAGGTAGCAGCATGAATAGATTGGGAAAACAGGATTATCAGTTTGATTGGCTATAATAGGTCACAGCTGTTAGAATTTGTAAAATCACCCAAATACATGAAATGGAAAGGCCTTGTGAAAGGTGTTTAATGATGTAGAAACTGCTGGTCCTCCCCTGCATCTTGATAAGGTTTCTTGATATGAGTGAAATATATATAATAAAAGCTGAATGGAGCTGGGTTGTAGTTTGGCTGGTACAGTGTTTGGCTAGCAAGTACACAAGACCCTGATTCGGTCCCTAGTATCACATAAACTGGGTGTGGTGCCACAGCCTGTACTCTGAGCACTTGTAAGGTCGAAGTGGAAAGATTGTCCTTGGTTGGTAGTGAGTTAGAACCTAGTTGCTCTACATGAGATTCATTCTTAACAAAACAACCCTGAGAAGAAAAGCTTGATGATACAGTGACCGAGGTTGTATCTTATTATGCCACTCAGCTGGCTCCTGAGTAGAAGCCAGGAGCTTTCTCCTCTTGTTTCTTTCTCCTCAGTATATGTATATATACAAGTACATGCTATACTTGATCAAGTATTTAGGTTTTAAAATATGTGTTCAGGAGTTAATGCCGACTTCAGGTAAGAACGCTCATTTAGCGAGGCATGGTGGTGCACAATTTTAATCTCAGTGCCGGGAGGAGAGCACAGGGACCTGGGTGAGCTCTAAGGCCAACCTGGTCTGTATGGTGAGTTTCAGGCCATCCAGGTATTCACAGTGAGACCCTTCCCAAAAAACAAAGAATTATTTAGGGCCAGTGGGATGGCTTAGCATGTAATGGTTCCTGTGATTAAGTCTGACCTGAGCTCAGTTCCCAAGGCTCACTTGCAGGAGGGAAACAGTTTTAAAGCTGTCTACTGGTCTCCACAAGGAGACAAGGCTTCCCTCCCTTCAATAAACAAAATTTTATATTTGTAATTGAAAACATTTAGTTGGTTATGGTGATTCACACCTATGGTCTGGCATTCTAAAGGCTGAGACATGAGAATTGCCATGAGTTTGAGGTTACATAGTAACTTCCAATTCAGGTTGAAAGATATGATAAGACTCTCCCAAAACCAACGCTGAAAACAGCAACCCTAACAATAGCAACAAAAAATTCTCCCTCCAAATAGTAATGTGGAGCCATGGCTTGGCTACTAAGAATGCTTACTGTGCAGTCTTGGCAACTGGAGTTTAGATTCTACCACCCATGTGATAATCTGTGAGTTCCAGGCATGCGGGGGACCCCAGCTTTGAGGGGTCAGAGACAGAAACTCTGGTGTTTTCTGGCTTCCATCTGTTCAAGGAAGCCTGGGCCCCAAGGTTGGGGAGAGACTAACTCTGGCCTCTTCACACCACATACTGACACTATGCCCAAGTAAGAGTCAGCTGTACTTGTAAAAGTGAGTAAACAAATAACATGGTTTTTAAAAAGAAAAGTAACTGAAGAAATAAACTTTTTAAAGTAATGTTTGCTAGAAATTTGCACCGAGATATGGGAGAAAGTATCTTTTACCTATTGCTGGCCTGTTTTTTTTTTTTTTTTTTCTCTCCCCCCAAATTAAGATACTGTATAGGAGCCAAGCATAGTGGTGCTATGCCTGTAATCTTAAGACTTTGTAGATTGAGGCTAGAGAAAGTGTTCATGACCAGCCTGGGTTATGTACCAAGACTTTATCTCAAAAGAGAAAATAAAAGAAAACGTCAATTTGGTGGCACAGTCCTGCAATCCCAGATACTCACTGGGCTATATAATATGAGTTCAAGGCCTGTCTGGATTATAGAATGGATTCAAAGCCAACTGAGGCAAGCTACCTGTCTGTCCGTCTGTCTGTCTACCTAGTTTCCTATCCATCTTATCTATTTTGAGGCGCAGTCTCTATGTCATGCAGCCCGACTGTCCTGGAATTCCTTACGTAAACTTCTGACATGTGATCCTCCTACTTCTGCCTCTGGAGTGCTTATGGGAAAGCCATATGCCACCAGGTCTTGCTGCAAACCGGGCAGTTCAGAGAGACTTTGTCTCAAACCAGTAGCACAAAGCAAAACCAATGTAAAACAGGGGAGAGAAAATATACACACACATACAGACACATACACGGACACACACAGTAATCACTGGTACAGTGCTTGCCTAGTGTGTGGGAGGCCCTAGATTCAAAACAGGAAAAGCAAAACATCTACACCATCACAGGCCCTAAGTGAGCATTTTGTACTTGTGTCACTGCGCAGAGGCCACTGCTATTTAATTGCTGTACATTATGAAGAAAGAAGCCTGAAAAATTTGGAAGTCTGTTTTTTAGGAACACAGTTTTGAATAAGAGTTATATTTTCTGTGGAGCTGACTAAAAGCCTCCCTTCCATTTATAAATTTATAAGATTGTAGTTTAAGAGAGAATTAATGTTAAAATTATTCTCCAGCTAAATGCAGCCTTTTCCCTTCAGAGCCAGTCAGAACCAGTTGGGCATCATTTGTTATGTCTTGTGTGTAGCCCTGGCTAGTCTGGGACTGGGTATGTAGATTGGGCAGAAGGATACTTCTGAGTATTGGGCCACAGGCACATGTCACTGCTACTCCTGGCATCTTGCTTTGCTTGCTTTCCTACCTCCTCAGTGGAAAGGAAATCCAGATAAGCAGCTCGACCATTAGGTCATTTGCCCAAGGGAACAGAAAATCCTTTACACTATTTAATTCCATGGTAGTTTTTCTTATGGGAACAGGTTATATAGAGTCCTGAGTCCTACATTAAGTATTTTCCTTCCTCCCAGGATGTCTTCAAATTCTCATGTAGTCAGAGATAACCTTGATCTTCTTGCCTCTGCCTCCAGGTGCTGGGATTATGAACATGTACTATCACACCTGGTTAATCAGTATTTCTCAGAGTGATACTTAGTGGTTGAGAATTCTGTTTGACTTACTTTCTAGCATCTGTCTTAATATTTTAGTTGCTGAAATCTACCACTTATTTGCTTTCTAGGCAACAGCTGAACAGATGCGGCTTGCTCAAGTTATCTTTGATAAGAATGATTCAGATTTTGAAGCTAAAGTTAAACAGGTATGTTTTAGTAAAGGATACTGTGACTTTGTACTTTATTCTTAGCTACAATTTTTTTTTTTCGAGCCAGTTCCAGGGAATCCAACATCCTCACATAGACATGCATGCAGGCAAAACAGCAATGCACATAAAAGTAAATAAATTATTTAAAAGAATATATATATATATATATATATATATATATATATATATATTTTTTTTTTTTTTTTGTATGTCAGGGTTTTGACTATGTGCATATATGTGTTTCATGTGTGGTCTGGTTATCCACAGAGGTCAAAAGGGGGCATCAGATCTCCTGGAATTGGAATTATGGATAAAGATGAACCGTCAAATGAGTGTGGGGAACTGAGCCTGTTTTTTCTGCAAGTGCTCTTAACCTGGTCTTGATTCTTAATACACTTAAAAAGATAATTTTACTAATAAAGCTTTTAAATTTTGCTTAGTCTGAAGTTAATACTTGATAATGAATTTTGGGCCTCTGATGCTTAACATTGGTAGCTAGATGATGAACTGTGCTTATCTTGACAATGGAATCTAAGTAATTAGTGTGTTTTCATATGACCAGTAGTTTAGACATTTGTGAAAGCCCACTGACATTTTTCTATACCTATGTAGAAAGTATTACTTTCGGGCTGTGAGGAACATTTTCTTTTAATCTAGGAAAGAGACACATTGCCTTTTAAATGTCAGTGTGATTTTAAACTTAATTTGACAAAGTATAGGTATTTTTAGGGTGATTTTAAAAATGATTAGATGATTAGATGATTTTAAAAATCATTAGAAAGTAATTTTGATAAGTTAACTTTAATTCCAAACCATTCTTTACTACTTTTTCAGCCTTCTAGTGTCTAGCAAGCAAGCAATGTTCTCTGTCCTGATGTCAGATATTCCAGTCCTTAGTTGTGTTCTTGAAATGGTTCTTAAGAACAAACTCCCCACCGTGTACTTTGTGGCTGTGTGGATTCCTTGTTCTTACATTTGCTGACATAAGGCGCATAGTAATTTTTTGAAGTTCTCAGAAGTAATTGATTTAAAAAAAGTCATAGAACTTATGTAGTTGTGCCCTCTATAGTCCTGGCTGCTTGGAAGTCAGAACCCAAATTATTGTTTGAGCCTAGAAGTTTGAGAGTAACCTGTGTGGTATAGCCATATCCTGTCCTCTTCTCTAAAAGAAAAAAGTGAATGTGTTAGGACTCTTTTTTTTTTTCATTTCTAATAGGTACTTAAGTACAGTTTGAGAAACACTCCTGCATATTATAGAACCAGTTATCTGAATAGTGGAACTGATTTGCAAAACATAATCACTGTCTAAGTTGAGAGTGAAGTTCTACTCTAGTTCTGTCTCTTGCTCATCCAGTCAGTAGGCAAAGTCTGATTCTTACTGCATGTCTTGAGAATTGTGAGTGGCAGAGAGCCCAGACGGTTTATATCAATAGCTAAACACTGACAAGTCTTGTGCAGGTATGTGAGCTCATCTTCCTGAAGGGCTGAGGTAAGCCTGGGTAGCTTAGTGAGAACTCGTCTCAGAAGTAAAAGGTCACCAGATTCATCATACTGGCCGAGTGCTTGCCTCAGGTTCACTCTCACAGCGAAGCAAAAAGTCTGGGAAGCTGTCCAGTAGTTAGAACTGGTAGTAGTAGGCCAGGGTCTACTGTAAAGAGCTGTGGCTAGATTTGTTAGACCAAGAAGCCTGCTTTCTGCACACACTTAATTTATTTCTTTTTGTAGTGCTGGGCATCAAGCTCCATACAGCCTAGGCAGATACTCTTCCACTGAAGTAGTTGCAGTCCACAGGATTGTGTTCTAGATAGGCATTCCTGTTAACTAGCCCTGGGATTACAGGCACGAGTCTCATGAAATGTTGAAATGAAGCGGTTTTGAACCTGAGTACATATTAAAATAATTAAGTTTTATTAAAGCATGGTATTTATGCCATAGATCTGTTCACTGATAGTTTAGGAACTTAAGTTGTATTTAGTATGTGGATTGTTGTGCTGAGGAAGATGCCAAGATGGTTCCTTAGGCTGACTAAAGAGAATGGGCTGAGACTTACACTTACTTCAGCGATAGTGTGTGCTTAAGTTTCTAGACACAGTGCTGTGTCTGGAAAGTAGCTTGTGACAGCTATTGAGTTCTCCTTGTAAGACTCCTTGTAAGGTGTACATGTTCATGTGAGATGTTCTAATGCAGTTAGTGAATGGTGGCTAAATGCCAGTAAAGTCCCTGTTAATGTTTTAGGAATCAAAACTTTGCAAGTTCTATGCTATTGACCTAAGTGTAAGAGTTCTGAGAATGTTGGTCTGTGCATATGTTCTGCTGGTTAATAAGCGGGGGGTTGTTGAACGCCTTTAATCCTTTGTACTTGGGAAGCAGAGAGGTAGGCCTCTTTTTGAGGGTAGCCTGGTTTATAATACAGTGCCACAGCTGCTTTAAACAAACAAAAAAAAAGTGACTTGTCTTTGAGGAAGTTGATTGGTGGGTGAGTCTACTAGTATTATTTGGGGCCATGAGGGACACATAGGAATGCCATCCTGCTCTTAGAGCCTAAACTTATTGGTGTCTATAAAAGGTTATCATGTGTAATGGCAGCACAATTGCTGTATTTGAATAGGAGAATCACAAAATTAATATTGAATGCTTTTTTGTTTTTCGTTAACCATTTTTCTGATACTTTGAATAGCTTATGGAAGTGACGGGAAAAAATCAGGATGAATGCATAGTGGCTCTACATGACTGTAACGGCGATGTGAACAGAGCCATCAATGTGCTGCTGGAAGGGAATTCTGACACGGTAAGGATAGTTGATCTGTTCCCAGTTTCAGGTTGTGTTTTCAGTTTCACTTTGCATGGGAGTTGTGGTATAGAGGGGCTGTTCTGGGCACATTCACATTCTAGATAGTCACTCAAGGAAAGTTGCAACAAAAACAGTAACTTGGCTGTTCCTTCCAGCGTCACAGTTTGTAAGAGTGCTCAGGCCTCTGGACATTAACACCACCTGAGAACTTGTGGCTCCAGACTGCTCACGGTCACTCATTTAGCTGCCACCCTTAGCCACCCCTTACTGGTTCTTCCTCTGCTGTAGTCCAGAGTCTCACCTCGTGTTTTGAGGATGCCATTGAACTTGTAACCTGCCTGTCTTCTCTTCCTTTGTGCTAAGATTACAGGATGCAGCATCATAAACTTGATTTATGCAGGCTGGGGATTAAACTCAGAGCTGTGTGAATGCCAGGCAAGCCCTGCACCCCCAGGTCTACTTTACAAAAGAATAAGGATTTATGCTCTGTGTGTGTGTGTGCGCATGTGTGTATTGTATGTGTATGTGTTCCAAGTAAGTGCCTGGTTCCCTAGGAGGTCAGAAGAAGGTATGATGTACCCTGGAATTAGTATTGGGTAGTGGTTAGACACCACATAGGGGCTGGGACCTGAATCCATGTCCACTGCAAAACCAACAAGTATTCTTTTTTAATTTGGTTTTGGTTTTGTTTTGAATTTTTTCAAGACAGGCCTTTATTTATTTATTCATTTATTTATTTATTTTTGTTTGGTTGTTTGTTTGTTTGATGTGGCTTTTGCTGTCATGTAACTCCTTTTCTAGACCAGGCTGGCCTTAAACTCAGAGATCTGCCTGCCTCTGCCTCTGAGTGTGCTGGGTAACAGATGCTCTTAACTGCTGAGCCATTTCTCCAGCCCTTTTCTGTGCTAATCTTTATATCAATTGAAAACCAGGATTTGCTGATAACTTTGTTACTAATGAATATTAATGAATATTCCATAAACATGTTCTCATAAGACTCAGTAATATAGAATTTTTAATGCTCTGTATTAAATGCACAATACATAGAAAATAAGTCATACTTGAAAATTGTATCAGGTTGTTAGCAGCTTTATTCCCTTGGTCTATATATGGAAAGTGGATTGTGTTTGATTTTTTTTTTTTTTTCCCTAAAATGAGGAAACTATTTCAGAGAAAGTTACAACAAATAATACTTTACCTAAAAGAAAGATAGTGATGAATGTACCCAAAAATGACTCTCTTGGGGCTAGAGCTGTGGCTCAGTGGTCAAGAGCATGAACTACTCTTTTAGAGGACCTTCACAATGACCTATAGTTCTAGCTTCAGGGGTGCACTTATACGCATGCACACACACACATACACACACACTTAAAAAAAATGAATGTATTTTATTTTATGTGTATAGATGTCTTCTTTCCATTTGTGTATATGCACTACTTGCTTGCCTGGTTCCTGTAAAGGTCAGAAGAGGATGTCTGATCCCCTGGACTGGAGTTCTTTAGTGTTGTGAGCTACTGCTTGGATGCTGGGAATTAAACCCAGGTTTTGAAGATCAGACAGTCCCCTTAAATACTGAGTCACCTCTCCAGACCCATACATGCATGCATGTGCGTAGGCACATATATGAAAATGTTTTTATTTTATTTGTATGAGTGTTTTGCCTGCATGTATGTATGTATGTATGTATGTATGTATGTCTGTCTGTCTGTCTGTCTGTCTGTCTGTCTGTCTGTCATGTGCATGTAGTGTCTGTGAAGGCCAGAATGATACATCAGGTTCCCTGGAACTGGAGTTATAGATGGTTGTAAGCCATTCTGTGGATACTGAGAATCAAACCTGGATTCTCTCTCTGGAAGAGCGTCCAGTGTTCTTTTTCTTTCTACCCCCCTCCCTTCTCCCTCCCCCCTTCTCTCTCTTTCTCTCTCTTTCTCTCTCTTTCTCTCTCTCTCTCTCTCTCTCTCTCTCTCTCTGTCCGTCTGTCTGTCTGTCTCTCTCTCTCTCTGCCTACCTGAGACTGGGTCTGGATGTCGTGGAACTCACTTTTTAGAACAGGCTGGCCTTGAACTGGCATTGATCTGCCTGCCTTGGCCTCCAGAGTGCATGGGCCACCGCAACCGGCAAGTGCCATTCTTTTATTGTTTTTTTTTTAATTTTTTGAAATTAATTTATATTTTTATTAATTATGGTATATTCACTTTGTATCCCAGCTGTAGCTCCCCTTCATCCCCTCCCATCTTTTATTGTTTTGTTTCTTGGGGTATTTTCGTTTTTTGAGACAGGGTTTCTCTGTATAGCCCTGGCTGTCTGGACTTGCTCTGTCGAGCAGTCTGGCCTTACAGTGATGCAGCTGCCTCTCCCTCCCTAGGAGGATTACAGGCCTGTGCCACCCTGCCTGGCTTCCATCTGGAAATGGAATGTGCACTCTTTCCAGGGTTTGGGTTTAGTCATGTTGTTACTTTGAGGGGAGGCTGTTGTACATATTTACTGTATAAAAAGAGTGCTGTAAGAAACCAAATTCTGTAACTATACAGTGCTTTCGTTTTATTTGATGTTGAAAAGAATGAATTTTTTTTTTTTTTTTTTTTTTTTTATTTTAGCACTTGGGGAGGCCAAGGTAGGCTGATGTCCGCAGTTCAAGGCCAGCCTGGTCTACAAATTCCAAGACAGCCAAGGCTACACAGAGAAAGCCTGTCTTGGAAAAAAATAAAACAAACAAAAAAGAATTTCTTTGGTAGCAAAATACATACTGAATTCAGGGTGTTACAAGTTGCTTTGGATATCTTGTATAATGACCTTACTTACTTTAAAAACCTGTATATATAACTTGAGACCTGTTGTATAATATGTCATCTTTTTATTTAGTGTTTATGATAGTGTGAGACAAACTGCCTCCTTAAAGGTTTAAATGAAATTTTGCCAGTCTATGCACTGTTCACAAGCCATGACTTGCTTAAAGCTGGTCTATCTTTTGCTGACTGACAGGGGGTAATATGTTTTGCTTTTGAATCCTTTCTACAGAAATCTGGCCCCGCTATAGTGAATAGCTTATCCATCTTTGGTCTCATTCTGTAAAGGACCTCTCCTGACACCCCCCCTCCCCCACCTTGTCCTAAGTTCATGATTTTCTTCACTAACTTGGAAATTTATCATATCTGTATAGTTTATTTTATCTTTAATATGTTGTATGCAAGCGTGTGAGTGCATGACAGTCTGAGACAATACCCTGTAGTTTGATAAGGCAGTTGTCAGCTTTTTCACACTGGCGCTGGGATTTGAACTTGGGTCCTCTGTGAGAGCAATACCAGGTAGAACAACAATATTTATATTCTCTAATAGAAAAAGCAACACAGAAAGTTGTAAAATGAAATCAAATGTCTTCACAGGAAGATGTTTGATTCGCATTTTCTTCAGGGTGTGTGTGCATATGTAGCCTCCTGTTGAGTCGCAATGTAATTTTATTCTCCTTGTGTAGATCAGTGACCACTTTGTGTGTGTGTGTGTGTGTGTGTGTGTGTGTGTGTGTGTGTGTGTGTCTAACTGCATCCTGCATGGGTATGCTGGATGGTCTCCTTGATGTAATGTTTGGGGAATTTCTCCACACAATTCAGTTGCTTTTTTATTTTTGGCCTGGAACTCAGAGATCTGCCCCCACCCTCAGAGTGCTACCCAAGCCTCATTTGTTTTTTTAGACAGGTTTTTACTGAATCTGGAGCCTGCTGATTCTCTAGACTGGCTGTCAAGAAGCCTGTCTTCCTATCCCCATCACTGGAATTTCAGATACATGCCTCCATGGTTCGTTCATTTTTTGAGACAAGTTTTCTCTGTGTAGCCTTGGCTATCCTGGAACTGTCTGTGTAGACCAGGCTGGCCTCAAACGCAGAGATCTGCCTTCCTCTTCTTCCATCATTGCCTGGCTTTGTTCTCATGTTGAGCTTTTAAGTGCTCTCAATTACTGACTCACCCCTGCAGCAGTATTAAAGCATGTTTAGGTGACCATTTCAGATAATTAAATAGAGGAACTTATATTCCTGAAAGATGGAATATCATTTCAAGTAACTGCAAACTCTTTGAATGGATCTATGTGTCAGTAGGATTAAAATCTGCTGATATAGATAAGAGGTTATAGGGGAGACATTTCAGGGAGTTTCATTGACTTTATTCCTATGTTTGTGTAGGAAAGGACTTGGTAGGAAAAGCAGTAAATTGTCTGTAATTATTGATGTATAGCCTCAGATGAACTGGGAATTGTGGCATCCTTCCAGTTTTTTTTTTTTTTTTTTTTCCTTCTTTAGGAAGATGGAAATAAATGGGAAATAATTGAACGTAAATTTTGAAAGCTGTGTGACCATTGAATGATTGTGGACCTCTACTTTTTCATAGACTTCATGGGAGACTGTAGGGGGGAAGAAGAAGAATTTTGGAAAAGAAAGCTCAGAAAACAAAGAAAACAGAGAGAAGAGAATGGAGAGAGAAGCAAGTCGTGGACGGGGAAATAACAACCGCAAAGGAAGAGGTGGCAGCCGAGGTCGAGAGTGTAAGTGTAGCTCTTCTGCTTGACCATTTTCATACACTGTGAGAGTTGGAAGAGAAGGCTATAAACCTAGGTGTCACCGCCAGTTTCTCAGTCACTTCTGCTGATGTTGTGTTGGGACTGAATGGTCTATAAGGTCCTGTGGTGTGGTTTCCCGTCAGGAGTGACCTGGGCTGCAAGTAGTTAATTTTCATCCTCTAAGATGGTTAGAAATCAGGTGAACTGGAGGTAGGGCTGGGCCCCATACATAGTCTCCACTGATACATGAAGCTTTTTTTTTCTTTCCCAGTTATAGATACTCATGTGTAGATATGGATTAAATTAAAACGAAATATGTAGGTGTGCCTTTAATCCCAGGTGGATCCTGTGAGTTTGAGTCCATCCTGATTTACATCTTGAGTTCAGGCTAGCCAGGATTACATAGTGAGACCCTGTCTCAGCCACCCTTCACCTTCTCAAAAGAAAACAAAAAAAAAAATCAAGGAGAGAAATTTAGTAGACAAGGTTTCTTGAGCAATTTCCTTTAGATCTATGTTTTGACATCATTTTACTTGTAAATAGTCCAGGAGACATTTTATGGATTTTATGGTTAGTTTATCCCATTGATATTTATTTATTAGCTACTTGTTATGTAGGGAGTACTTGTCATCTATAGTAATGAGGAAAACAGATTTTTAAAATGTTGATAGCCAAGTGATGTCTATAATCCTAGAATTTGAGAACTTTTAGTAGGAAAATTGGGAGCTCAGAGTCAGCCTGAACTACATAGTTAAATGTTGTCTCAGAAAGCTCCCAACCCATGTTTTTTGTCCTAACCCTTATAAAATTAACTAGACTCACAGTAAGATATTGAACTGGCTTTAACTAACATTCTCTTCCTCCAGTAGTGGAATTATAGACATACAGCACTGTTGTGTGTCTCTCCCCTCAATCCCCTTTGGGTCCTGGGATTGAACTCAGGACATCAGCTTGGCAGCAGCCCTTACTCATTGAACCATCTCACCAGTCTTATTTTTAAATGAAGGTAATTGGACGGTAGTAATAGGGATGAGAAGTAAAGTATTTTATGTAATAGAAGGGTATCATTTGGTGTTGGGGATTGAATCGAAGGCCTTAGCTTGAACTTCTACTTAGCCACATCTCTAGCTTTTATATGATATTTTTTTATTTTATTTTTTTGAGATGGGCTCACTATGTAGCCCTGGCTGGCCTAAAATGCAGAGCTTTGCTAGTTCTTGATACCCTAGTGCTGTGATTAAAAGGGTGGTTACTCTCTAGCCTTATATAATAGTTTAGTAATGTTACGTAGAACTTGTTATGTGGAGAAATAAAATTCAGAAACAGGTGAGAATTATGGGAAGGGATATGATTAATTTATGTGTACTGCAAGACCTAGCTCATGTTATATAAGCAGCAACTGAAAAGTGAAGTGAGTGGCCTGATGAGGTGGAGGTGGTGCAGCCATCTATAAAGAGATCTCATCTACAAAAGGATCTCATGCCTTCTTCTGGTGTGCACATGTACGTGCAGACAGTACTCCTACATTAAAAAAGTGCACATATTTAAAAAAAAAAAAGTTTTAGCCGGGGTGTGATGTGGTCTGTGCCTTTAACCCCAGCACTTGGGAGGCAGAGCCTGAGTTTAAGGCCAGCATGGTCTACAGAGTTTCAGGATGGCTAAGGCTACACAGAGAAACCCTATCTCAAAACCAAAGAAAAGAAAATAGTAGATAGGATTTCTCTATGTAGATTGACTGTCTAGTAGCTTTCTATGTAAACTAGGCTGGCCTCACAGTGATCTTGCCTCTTGTCCTGAGTGTTGGACTTAAAGGCTTTTTCTGTTGCACACTCCAGCACCATGTTATTTGAATTCTATTTTTCTATCTGTGATTGCATTTGTTGCCATTCTGTTTTTACTTGCCACTGCTCCTCCCTCCCCAGCCCCATTGTAGGCCTTAGTATGTTGTCCAACTGGATTTGAATTTATGCTTCTCTTGGTTTCTCCATCCTAGAAATGGACAAGTGTTCAATCACATGCTTTCAGTCTTGATACTTTTTACTTTTCCTGTTTTCTAAAGTTAAGTTTTAATCTGTTCTTTGACCTTTTGTCTTTTGAGACACAGTCTCCCTCCATATGTAGCGCTGGTTGGAAATTTGACCAGGCTGGCCTTGAAGTTGTGGGATTAGAAGACAGTGCAACCATGCCTGGCATTTTTACTCTTTTTGTTCATTTTATACTTGGTTTTGAATGTGCCCACTAAGTTTGGTAAAAGGTGTGAAAATGAAAAGTCAAATGTCTGCTTTTTCCTATTTAGTCAAAGGTGAAGAGAATGGAATTGATTGCAGCCAAGGAGACAAGCCTTTGGAGCGAGGCAAGCGGGCCCGAGGCAGAGGTAAGGGAGCATGAGCCAGATCTAGTGTCAGGCCCAGAGGAGAAAGCAGGCTCCTGCTACGAGGTTTTGATAATGTGTGGAAATGCATTGTGAAAGAAAGAATGTTCTCGGAAGTGTTTTAACGTAGCTACTGATATCTGTGAAGGAAGCATTTAGATTATCCCAGGTTTTTGTTTTTTTACATTTAGCTTTGGTTTTGTTGATGAAGACTGAACCCATTAATCCTTGGTAATTGGTAAGAATGTAGTCCACTGCGGCGCTACTGCCCAGATCCTAGACTCTGATTTTAAAGAACTCTATTGGTTATTTTCAGATGAGTTAATGAAAACCACTTTTATTGTCAGGTATAATTGTGTACAGATGTAATCCCAGAACTTTGGAGTCAGAGACAGGTGTTTAAAGTTTAGTATTCAGCAAAGCAAGAATACGCTTTTTTTTAATTTTTTGGCATTTTTGTGGGTTTTTTGTTTTGTTTTCTAGCCAGGGTTTCTTTGTACATCTGTCTGTACTGGAACTCATTCTGTAGAATAGGTTGGCATCTGACTCAAGAGATCTGCCTCCCGAGTGCTGGGGTTAAAGGCTTGCACCACCACTGCCGGGTCATTATTTGTTTATTTTTAAATGTTTTATGTGTATGGGTGTTTTGCCTGCATGTATATCTGTATAGCATGTGTATGCAGGGCCTGTGGAGGCCAGAAGAGGACATTGGATGCTCATGGGACTGGTATGTAGATGGTTGTGAGCTGCCATGTGGGTGCTGGGGATGGAACTGGGGTCCTCTGGTAGAGAAGCCAGTGAGTGTTCTTAACTATAGGGCCATCTCTCCAGCACTTTTGATTTGATTTATCTGTTTATCATCTGTCTATCTCTATCATCTGTCTGTCATGTGTCATCTGTCTGTATCTATCATTCTATCTATCTTATCTATCAAAAGATTCTCATTTTACAGTCTAGATTAGTTAGGAAGTCACTCTGTACCCCAGATTGGCCTGAAACTCTCTGCTTGATTTAATCATTCTACAATATATATACATAAAAGTACCACTATATTCCACAATTGTGTTTTTTAAAGGATTTGGACGTGGCAGAGGCAGAGGGGCAGGAAGGTTCTCTGCTCAAAGCATGGGGTAAGTCACAGGCATCCTATTGTAGAGTTATTTCCCAGTTGCTCTAGTCTCTCTCTGACCTGTTTATCAGTGATCCCAATTAGAGGTTTTCTGCAGTGCTGTTGTTGCAGAGGGTGCTAAATCAGGGCCCAGCCCTCGCCCTGCTGGCAGCTTTACCTGGCTGGCTGGATGTGTTGCACATGATGTTTAGCAGCACCCTTCTCCTCTCCAGCACAACACCCTCCCTATCAAGGTATTAAAATATCTGTATCTGTTCAGAATACCCTCAGTTGCCAAGTTGAACGCCACTGCACATGTGCTGCTAAATCCAGTTGTATGTAAAAATTATACTTTCTTCCTGAGTGAAAGTCGTAAAGGCTGCGCATTCTAGGTAGATATTATCACTATTTACCATTACTTCTAGGTTTTTTTTTTTTTCATTGTTTCTCTTGCATGTGGCAAAACAACTCAAATATTGAACCCCAGCCATTAACTGGTAGCCTTTCTATTTACTTCATGTTCTTCTGTGTATATTGTAACATTGAATTTAGCCTGTCTTGGTGGCTAGTGCCTTTTTGTGCTGAACCATTTCACCAGCTCTTCAGTTAGGATTTTATTGAAAAAACAGAGAAGTGCTGAACAAAACATTTCTTTAGGCATATTCTTGTGTAAAGAAGAATATAATTCCATTCAAAGTCAAAGCTGGGGTGCTGGAGAGATGGCTCAGTAGCTAACATCCATTGCGTTCTTCTGGCCTCTGTTTGCAGGTGGCACAAACATGGTGCATATGTGTACATATAGGGAAAACCCTCAGATACAGAAAATAAAGATAGTCTTAAAAACATTGGCTGTGATGGCACAGATCCTTCCTTAACCCTAACTCTACAAGCAAGAGGCCGGTTAGTCTGCATAGACAGTTCCAGGGTCTATGGAACTAAGACAGTTCTATCGTCTAAGCCATCTACATTGAGAGACCTTTTTCAAAAAACATGCCTCCAATTAGATTTTGACAGGAGGAAAAAGAGACATGTTAACCCCCTCCCCCCAACCTCCCTACACACAGGGTTTCTCTGTATAGCCCTGGCTGTCCTAGATTTGCTTGGCCTTGAACTCACAGAGGTCTGCCATGAGTCTGTCTGATGTGATTATAGGCGTGAACCACCAAGCCCGGCTCATTGGGATTATTTTTTTAAGATATAATTTTAATGTTTATGTGTGAGCCTGAGTGTATATTTGTGTACCATGTACATGAAGGTGCCTGTGAGACCAGAAGTGGTTTCCTAGGTACTAGAGTTCCAGGCCATTTTGAGCTGTCATGTGACTGCTTAAGTCCTGCAAAAGCAGCAAGTGCTGTTAACCACTTGAACCTTTTTCTCAGCCCCTCCATTGGAAATTTTCACTGGTGTTTCTTCTGGGAAGGCTTTCAGTACTTCATAAGTATTTAGGTTGCCAAAGACTGTATTATAGAAACTTGAAGTGTAGATAGATGATACTGAAGTAGAACTTTGGAATCAGGATGCCAGCTTGGATGGAAGATGTGGTTGGTAGAGTGCCTTCCTAGCAAAGGCAAAATAAGCCCTGGGTTCAATCTCCAGCACACTGTAAAACTGGACATGGTGGTACAAACTTTTAATTTCAGCAGTACCATTATCTACCAGAAATGACCACTTGAACACAGGTTCAAGACAATAGAAAGTCTTTATTAGCAACTACTCTGGGGAGTTGCAGCCCTGAGCCTCAGTGAGAACAGTTAGCCACAAGTGGAGCTACGCTACGAAGCAAAGGAGCAAGGTTAGTACATTTAGGGACTTTCTCAGAACAATAGATTTTGATGGATTAGGTTTTTGTTCTCGTTTTGCCAAGTGCTGCCACCTATGTGCTGGGCTTCAGAGCCTGAGTGGTCCTTCCATCATGGTGCCAGCTGTGTTGAGATCTGGGACCCTGTTACAGTATTAGAAGTTCAAGGTCACCTTGAGCTACATAGTGAGTTTATAGGCAGTCTGAGATGTGTGAGACAGACCCATCTTCAAATATGATAAAAAGAGATGGAGCCTGATGACTTTAAACCTAGTAGTCGAGAGGCAGAGACAGGCATATTTATGTGAGTTCATGGCTTGCCAACACCATAGTGGGACCCTGTCTCAAAACAAAACAGTGAAAGCATTGGAATCATTGGCATAGTGGTTTATTAAAGGTGCTTGTTGCCAAGACTCATGCCTGAAGTTTTCTGCCCCTGGGACCCCTGCAGTGGAAGGAGAGAACATGCTTGTGAAAGGTATTCTTTTATTTCCAGAAGTGTGCTGTAGCACATGTGAGTCTCCACACATTAAATTAAAACATTTTCAAAATCTGTATAAGGCTGGTTGTGATGGCACAAGCCTTTAATCCCAGCCTTTGGGGGCCAGGCAGATCTCTGTCACTTTAAGGCCACCCTTGGTTTACATTTACAGTTCTAGGACAGCCAGGGGTGCATTGAAAGACCTTGTCTAAAACCAAACCAAACCACTAAAACCCAAACAAACAAAAGTCTTCATTATAAGGGTTGCAGAGATGACTTAGTGGTTAAAAGCGCTGGCTGTTTCTTCAGACAGACTTACATTTGATTCCAAGCATCTGTAATTCCAGTTTAAGGGAAAGCCAGTGCCGCCTTCTGGCCTCTGAGGGTACTTCAAGTATGTGGTGCACAGACAGAATACCCATACACATAAAGTAAACTGAAAATAAATGTTTAAATCTACATCACAGTGGCTTAAAGAGTTAGCTGCCATTAAATGCAAGAAGGAGGGCGAAGCCTTTAACAGCAGCCCTTTGAAGGGACTTGAGCTTATTTGGTTTGGGATATTTTCTTCTTTTTTATTTTTTGTTTTTAGAGATAGGGTCTCTCTGTGTTGCTTTGGCTGTCCTGATGCTTGCTGTATAGACTAGGCTGGCCTTGACTCAGATCTGCCTCCCTCTGCCTCCCCATTGCTGGCCAATTTTGGCATATTTTTATATAGTTTATTTTGTGATTTTTGATGCCTGCTTTAGTTGCTTGTTTCTTTACTTCAAACCCCCCAGGACGTTCAATCCTGCAGAATATTCAGAGTCCACCTCTACAGATGGCTGTGGGACAAAGTTGGTAGTTTGGGAAGCTGCTCAGAACGGTACAGATGAGGACCCTGGTAAGTGTTTTGTTTTTGTTAGAAGTATTTGGTTTGTTTCATGTCTGTTTTTGAGAAATGGTCTCACTATAACCCAAATTGGCCTTGAACTTTCAGTGATCCCAGTTGCATATTCTACAAGTCTGGGATTTCACAACTTCTCCCATCACATCCATCTTCAGAGACGATTTTAGTTAGTTTTTTTGTTTGTTTTGTTTGTGTCTGTTTTTCTTTCTGTCTGGTTGGAGGGATACATTTGAGTTTTGTGTGCCTTTAGAGGTGAGAAGAGGGTGCCGTATTCCTAGAGCAATAATTTCTGTGACCTACCTGACATGGCTGCTGAGAACTGAGTGCGGGTTCTTTGGAGGAGTAGCAAGCATCCTGTATTGCTATGCCATCTCGCAGCCTCTAGAGATTGTTTTAAACTATTTTGTTCTTTTATGAGTATGATGGATTATGCCTGCAATCTCAGCACTGGGGAGTCTGGTAGGAGGATTGTAGCTAGTTTGCAACCAGTCTGGACCATGGATTGAGATCTGTCTAAAGAAATGTTTATGTTCTTCTTATGCAAGATGCCGGATGGAGAGTACTCAGACTCCTTTCACATGGCTCTCACCTTCAAAGCGTCTTGCCGGAAAATTGACAACCATGTGTGTGGCCTCATATTTATAATCCCAGTACCATAGAGGTTGAGGCAAGAGGATCATTGCAAGTTAAGAGGCCATGGAGTTATAGCACTAAGCCATGTGGACTAGAGTGAAATCTTGTCTGGAAAGACAATAATCTCATTGATAGGAAGCTTGATCTACCTCACCCCTCACTGTGAGAGTCTAGTAAGGCCATGTACGTAAATTCACACTGATGATTCCATTGTGTTGTTTTATAAATAAGCAGGATTTCTAAGGAAAATACTAATTTTATAACAACTCACCTCCTTTCTGTGTTTTTTGTTGTCTGATTGTTTTTTTTGCTTTTAGGCAGAGTCTTTCCCAGGCTGTCCTTGATCTCACTTGGTAGTGAGGTGAACTTATCTTCTGGTCTTTATGCCTCCAACTTCTATATGGCTAGTGTGGTTGTAGCACTGCCAATGAGGTGCTGCCAATCAGATTACTTATTTCTTTGTATGTGTAGGGAAGCCCATGCTATGGCATGTGTATGGGCCAGGAGACAGCCTTCTGGTGTCTAAGAAGGACAGTTCCTTCTTAGAGGTTCTCAGGCAGGGTCAAAGGGAGGTCGTCAGGCTTGGCATCAAAATATCTTTACTGTTGAACAGTCTTCTGGTGCCTTTCCTTTTTTCTTTTCCGATTTACTTTTATTATTATTTATTATTGGGTTTTTAAAAATAATTTAAATTTTATGTGCATTAGTGTGAAGGTTTCAGATCCCTTGGAACTGGAGTTACAGACCGTTGTGAGCTGCCATGTGGGTGCTGGGAATTGAACCCGGGTCCTTTGGAAGAGCAGACATCACTCTTAACCAGTGGGCCATCTCTCCAGCCCCTTATTTAGGTTTTTTTGAGACAGGGTTTCTTTATATATAAAGAAATAGCCCCAGCATTGTAGACCAGGCTGGTCTTGGGCTCAAACTCAGAGAGATCCACCTGTGTCTGCCTCCCATGTGCTGGGATTATTGTCATGAGCCACCATGCCTGTTGTAATTTTACTATTTTTAATTCTGTGTATGTATGTGTGTGTCTGTATGTGGATCTGTGCCTCCTGGAACTGAAATGACAGGTGCTTTTCAGCTACCTACCCTGGGTATTGAAAACTAAACTCATGTTGTGTGTAAGAGCAACGTGTGTGCTTAACTACTGAGCAAAACACTGAGTAGTCTCTCCAGTCATGTCTTTCCTTTTCAAACTTGTGATGAAGTCCAGTCCTGCTTGTGTCTTAGACTGGCTTGATCCACTAATCTTATCACAGCCTCCAGAGAGCTAGACTACAGGGTGTGCCACCACTTCAGCTAGGAGGAGAGTTTGATGTGGATTTATTTTTGTGTTTGTTTATTGATGTTTTTTATGCATGTTTGTCTCAGGACCACATGCATGCTGTGCTTGAGTAGGCCAAAAGAGGCTGCGGGATCTCCTGGACTGGAGTTATGGGTGGCTGTCCTCTGCCCTTTGGTTGCTGGGGATCATACCCGGGCTCTCTGGAGGAGCAGCCAAGGCTCTTAACTGCTGAGACACTTCTCCAGCTTCTAGAAGACTTTACTGCAAGTGCTTAGCATTCTGGGTGGTGGCTGCTAAAATTTAATTTTGGTGTACTTTTCTAAAAACTCTTATTTACGCTTCTTAACATCTTTTTCTCCCTACTCCACCCCAGTCCCTTCCGTCAACCTGACACCAGGTAGGAGAGAGAAAGGATTAGTGAGAAAGGGGGTGTAGTTCTCTTAGCTGCTTCCTTCTGGTTAGGGTCGTTGGGGTCCTTGGAGTCAGTCCAGTCCTCATTTCAGGAGATCTCCAAATTCTTGTCTTACGAGCAGCCTTGTTTTTTCTCAGAGCTCCTCACTCTCTGGACTCTGGCATTTATTCTCTCTCTAGAGTCCTAAGATTTAAACTGTCTGCAGCTGGCAAAGAATGTCTCAGAGCCCATCTGAAGCTACACCTGCTGCTGTGGACCATCTAAATCAGCCCCATCACCCCAAACCAGGGACCAAAACAAAAACATGTTTATGTATATAATATTTAAATATTGACTTTATTCACTCGCTTGCTCGCTCATTCATTCATTCATTCATTCATTCATTCATTCATTCATTCATTCATTCATTCATTCATTCATTCATTGCTTTTTCAAGGCTAGGTTTCTCTATGTAGCTTGGCTGCCCCAGAACTCACTGGGCCTCAAACCCAGAGATTCAATTGCTCTTCTGTCTTTAGTGCTGGGACTAAAGCTGTGTGCTGCCATGCTGTTTTTTGTGTTGTTTTCTGAAAGTTAGAAGTAAATAGTTGTTAATAGTGTATCTAGAGATTTTCTGATGAGTAATAATTCATGGTAGTCTAATTAACCACTGAGTATATTTATAAAAACATAATTTATATAATAAATTAACAGTGAATGAATTATAACCCAACACAAAGAAGTTATGAACTTGAAAACAGCAGCCTTTCATTTGAATTGGTGGCTCACTTCACTAATCCCAACCTTTGAGATGTAAAGACAGGATGATCTGGAGTTGAAGGTCTGCTTTTGCTAAATGGTTTGTTTGAGGCTAGCCTGAGCTACTTGAGACCCTGACTCAAGCAAGTAAGCAAACACACACATATGTAATTCATGCTACCATCTTAGAAACATAGATCTAGAAATGAATCAGTGGAGAAGATAAAAGCTATTTATAAATATTTGTGAAGCTTTAGTATGCAGATGTGGCAGGATTTTGGCAGAGGCACAAAGATTGAGGACTGCATAAGACCTTATGTCTTAGTCACACTTTTTTTTCTTTATGATAAATACTTGAAAAGAGTAAAAGAAGAAAGGTTTATTTTTAACCTATAATTTCAGAAGCTTCAATCTGTAATATCAGTCTTTTTTTTTTAATTTTTATTTTTTTTAACTTTGATGTAGAGTTTTTGTGTAGACCAGGCTGGCCTTGAGCTTACAAAAATTCCACCTCGGCTTTCTGAGTGGTTGGATTACCACACTTTTTTGTTGTTGTTAAGTCCTGATGAGGCATTAACATCATGACAAGCTGGGCATAGAGGAACAAGATTGGTCATTTCATGATAGCCAGGAAGCAGAGAGAGGTGGTCTGGAGAATTTATATCTCCCAAGGTCACATTGACCCTAGCGACCCACTCCCAGTTAAATTTCATTTACTCTGGTTTCTAGAATGTCCCAGCATATTTACCCATTTTGGGCCAACCCTTCTATACATGATTCTTAAAGAGGACATGTCATTTACAAGCCGTGATAGTTAAAAAAAAAAAACTCTAAAACTTCTCTTAAGTAATTGATATCATTTGATGAGACACATCAAGGGAAATAATTGGTTTCATACATTGTAGATAATATCAGAAAATAGTTTTATGCCCTTGAGTTGTAGCTCAGGTTGCAGGTGTGATATTCTATACCATTTCTTATTTAAAAAAAAAAAAAAATTCTGTCAACAACTTTGAAGTTCTGTGTGTGCTTGTTCTTTTAAACACTTTGAACAAACTATCAGAAAATAGAGTATAGTAAGACAGAAAAACAATAATATATATCTTAGCATGGAAGGTTTGTTTACTGTATATAAAGCACTGAATTCAGTCTCTGGCACTACTACCAACAAAAGTGACAGGCTAGAAAGATGATAGTTCAGCCATTAAGTGTATTTAATTGCTTCTGCAAAAAATCCTCGTTTGAATGTGAGCACCTACAAATCAGGCAGGCCACCCTCCATGGAATTACTTCACACAGGCACACACACACATAAAAGATGAAAGAAAGAGAAAGAAGTGCCTGGGTGCTTGCAGACAGACAGACACACACACACACACACACACACACACACACACACACACACACACACTCCCTCCACACCTGAATTTTCACTGTCCTCGTAACATTGGCTACTTGTGTAGTACTCCTTTCCTGTTCCACCTGTTCCATCTGCATTCGTGAGGCCTACTCAGTGTCTGATGTTTCATCACAAGATTTCTCTGTGACAATCACCATGTCACGCCTCAAAGATGACATTTCACAGCAGCCTGCCCACCTCCTGGCTCTTAGCATTTTTTTCCTCCTCCTCATGATGTGTCTGAGTTGTATTACTGCTGTCCCCTTTAAAACTGAGACTCAGAAGTTATATAGGCCCCACTTTACCAGAGATTAGTTGTTCATTAACTGTAACTGTGGCAGAGGGAGACTTCTGGCCAAGTTTGAGAGCAGCTCTAATCTGTGGTGCAGCTTTTTTTGTCTTTAAGTAATTCAACTGTTTTGATAGTGAAATAAATTGTCAGTTGTATACTTCAAAATAGTCATTATATGTCACAACCCAAAAATGAACATTTATCATAAAACATTATTAAAGAGAAATTCATATAATTGACTCAGCACAGAAAACGCTGAATGAAATTGAATATCCACTCCTGATTTTCAGAACATGGGAATCTAGCAGTTAGAATTCCAAGTGCATTTTCTTAAATGGGTAGTATGACTTCTAACCTCATGCCAGCTGGCCTTGCTTATGGTATTACAGTGAATATTTTCTTTCTGGAACACGGAAGAGCTAGCTCTCACTGCCTTTGTTTAACCACTGCATTGGAGCTTCTAATTAGAGCATTAGTGGGTGGGATGACAAGAGCAAACATTTCTTGATATGCTCTAATAGAATTTTTAAAGTAATTATTAGAATTAATGAGAGAGCCAGGCATGGAGGCACTCGCCTTTAATGCCAGCAGTTGGGAGGCAGAGGCAGGTGGATCTCTGTGAATTCCAGGCCAGTCTGGTCTACAGAGTGAGTTCCAGGACAGCCAAGTCTACACAGAGAAACCCTTCCCAGGGGAGGGAGGATTAACGAGAGAGTTGAGTATTATCTGTAAGATCCAGGAATGGATATGTTCCTCTCTCGTAGGAATGGGGTGGCTCCAAGTGGATGCAACAAGGACTTATGTGTTCTAGGCTGGTTTCTTAGGTAGCTAAAGATAATTTTGAATTTTTCATTGTTCTGCAGAATGCAAAGAATGCAGTTTATGCAGTGCTGGGGATGAAACCAACTGAGCTACATTCCCACCCCCCAAACAGAACATCAGCAAATAGAAAATGGAAAGAAACCATAATAACTTCATAAAACATGACCGACAGTTGTTTTTGACACCTTATGCCTCTTACAGTATTACAAAGCTGAAAGAGGAGGATTACTTTTAAGTTTAAGGCCAGCCCAGGCAATATTAAGATCCTATCTCAAAAACCAGATCAAACAGACAAAACATCGGATGCCAAGGAATAAATCTAATGGGAACATAAGATCAGCAAACTTCTGTCTAGGAAAATATAAAAACAATATTGGGTGAAGTTAGAAATGACATATGGAAGATTTTAAAAAAATTTTTGCTTAATGGATGTTTTGTCTGCATGTTTGTGCACTGCGTGTGCTTGGTGTCCACAGATCTGCGGAGGGTATTGATTCCCTGGGACTGGTTGTGTGCACTGTGGCCGTGCTAAGAATTGAACTTCTGCAAGAGCAACAGGGCTCTCAACTACTTAATGCATGAAATTTGAATTTTAACTGACTTTCATATTTGAACCTGTGGTAATCCTTCTTGTAACTTCAGTATTTTTAACAAGTTGAATGGATGGTGGCACACACCTTTAATCCTAGAGCTCTGGGTGTTAGAGGCATGTGGTTCTCTGTGAGTTCAAGGCCAGCCTGGTGTATCCTTGAGTTCCAGAACAGCCAGGGCTATATGGAGAGACATCATCTCAAACCCCCCACCAAAAAAAACAAAAACAAAAAACAATTAGCTTTAAGGATCTTTGACTGGATTTAGTTGAGTTAGTAGAGTGCTTAAACCAAACCCTTGATTTGATCCTCAACTGGGCATGGTCCTGCAGGCTTATCTATAGTCTCAGCACTCAGGTAGATGCAGGGAGGTAAAGTTTAAGATTATACTAGGTTGCACCTCAAATTGAGGGACAGCCAGGTCATATGAGACCCTGACTCAGAAGAAAAGATTTACTAATAGAAACTGATTTGTTTTGTTTTTTTGAGGGGTCATGCTAGTTTATAAGTTTTTTTTTAAGATGTATTTTTATATTTATTCAGTATTTTGCATATGTGCCTGCAGGTCAGAAGAGGACACCAGATCTCATTATAGGTAGTTATGAGCCACCAGGTGGGTGCTGGGAATTGAACTCAGGACCTTTAGAAGAACAGCCAGTGCTCTTCACTCCTGAGTCATCTCTCCATTCCTTAAGTTAGTTATTTTGAGGGTCTTACTCTATAGTCAAGCCAGCCTGAAGCTCCAAATGCGGTGCGGACTGGTCTAGAGCTCTGGAGATTGTTGTGCCTCAGCTCCTTTAGCCTGGACTTACTACACTCATGAACATATCTGTGTGTGAGCGTGTGGGTGTACTCATGGAGATCAAAGGAGAGCCTCACATGTGGGTCCTGGATTAACCTCAGGTTTATAAAGCTTGGCAGCAAGCACCTTTACCTGCTGAGCCATCTTGCTGACCCATTGAAATCTAATTTAGAGGCAGCACAATTCAATCATTTTTAGGGGCAGAGAAAGTTGAATTCTAATAAATGCATACAGAGTTAAAGCCACAGTTCAATTTGAACCAAAAAGGGGGAACATGCTCAGTATTTGGCAACTGGGCTCTTCTGTATGCCTTATTTTCCCGAAGCTGAGGGGTGTTAATAGTTTGAGCACAGTTTCTACTTCAGACCTTAGCAGGCTTTGTTGCCTTCATTCTAAAAGCCTTATGGAAGAGTATTGACAGTAGTCCAAACGATTGAAGAAACAACCAAGAACTCAAGGACTTAATCTCAAGTTATAGTCATTAGGCAGAAGTATAAGCGTAGTCTGCTAGGAAATGTAAGTCTCCTGTCTAGCTGAGTTGTGATATTTCATTGCTATTCAGCAGAGCAACCTCAAGTGAGAAAAAGGACTCAACTAAGACTTACACACTTTCACAAAGATTGGAGCAAATCTTAAGAACTTTGGGGCTAGGCAAAGATATTCCATAAGAAATGAGTGAACCTGAGTCATTAAGAATTTGTTTGCCCATGGGTGTGAGTTCTTGTGCCTGTGTTTCTGCCTGCCGAAACCAGAACTTGGCACCATGTGTCTTCCTTTATGGCTCTCTACCTTTCAGTTTTTCCCGTGTTTTGTGAGTGAGTGTAGTATGTACATATACTATGCAGGATCCAGGAGCGTATTGTGACCTCATGCTTAGTAGCAAGCACCGAATTTACTCCCTTAGCTTAGCTATATTGCAGGCCCCAATACTTTAAGGACTCAATCAGGCATAGTAAATTCACAATTAGAACTAATTAAATGAAATTAAAACTATCATAACTATTATGAATTTGGTTGTTGTTTTGTTTCTAGAATTTTCCATTTAACAATTTTGGGCCTTGGTCCCTCCATGAGAAGGGATTGCTGTAATACATGAACTCTATTTTATGTGCTGACCAAGCTTTCCTTTTACCATTTTATCCACAGAAGGTGTAACAAAGCCTCACAGTATATCTCAGGAGCTGCCAAGTAAAAGTTCTTATGGACTCAAAGGTACAAGTTTTTTGTTTTGAATTTTGCATAGTTAAGAGCCATACAGGGGCTGGAGAGATGGCTCAGAGGTTAAGAGCACTTGGCTGCTCTTCCAGAGGTCATGAGTTCAATCCAGCAACCACATGGTGGCTCACAACCATCTATAATGAGACCTGGTGCCCTCTTCTGGCGTGGAGGCACACATGCAGGCAGAACAGTGTACATAAATAAATTTTTAAAAAATCATATAGACGTAAATGTGTTGCTCACCGGTAGAGTGTGCACATAAACTACACAAGAGCGTTTCAGCGCTGTGTAAAGTGGGTTTGCTGTAAGGCACAGTTGGGCCAGTCTCAAAAGGAACAAACCTTTGTGCTATTGGGGAAATGGTACAGGCACATGTCTGCAGTCCTGATGAGTTTGATCTTGGGACCCATAAGGTGGAAAGAACTGACTCTTAAAAGTTGTTTTCTCACCTCCACACTCACACTGTGGCACCTGTAACCCACCCCACTCCCACCACAGAATAAGTACAAGTGATACATTTTTTAAAATGTAAAGTTGTTTGGTTCCTGTACAGCATGATGGATTTCAAACTGAGTGTGGTGCTACACACCGTTTGTGTCAGCGCTCTGCAGGCAGAGGTGGATGGCTCTCTTCAGGTTCGCAGCCATCCTGGTCTACGTAGGGAGTTTTAGGATAGCCAAACTAAGAGTAAGACCCTGTCTTTTAAAGAAAAAAAAAAGAGGTGGGGAGCAAGGAAGGAAGAGATTGTGTTATTTTGTAAAGCAAGTGTATGCTTAACCTTGCTCTTATCTTACCCATGGCCTTCCTTGTACTCGTTCCTCCTGGGCTTTTAGTTTTGAAGCTCTGGGACTGAACCCAGAGCATTGCATATACTGTGCAGGTAACGTTCCCAATGGACTAGAGTCTCAGTCAGCTCAACCCAAACATGTTTGAAGCTGAAAATGATGGCATCAAATTATCCCATCTGTTCCTGGGGTATAGGACAGTTGACTTGAAATTCAGTCCTTTCATGGCCAGTGAGTGATATTTTATACTGCATTGTGTATGGCAGGCTTCCTCTTCCATTTCCTGACTATGCAGTTCATGGTATCATACCAAATATATATCAAAAGGAATAAATTCATTGGTGATTGTGGTGGGTTGTTTGTTTTTATTAGCTTATCTGTATTTTTTTAAAGCAGAATTAATAAAAAATATTTCTTAAATTGAGACATTAATTTGATTTAAGCATATAGTTCTGGCTATTTTTAAAATTAATTTATTATTTTTTAATACAAAGATGTTAATTTATTTTTAAATTTTTACTTATTTTGATTTCATGCACATTGGTTTTTTGCCTACATGTATGTGTGTGGGTGTTGGATGCTCTGGAACTGGAGTTACAGATGGTGGTGAGCTGCCATGTAGGGTCCTCTGGAAGAGTAGCCAGTGCTCCTAACCATGGAGCCATCTCTCTAGCCCTAGTTCTGGATATATTATATAGAAACTTGGTTTTTTTTTTTCGAGACAGGGTTTTTCTGTATAGCATTGGCTATCCTGGACAGCCCGACCTTGAACTCACAAGAGATCTGCCTGCCTCCACCTCTTAAGTGCTGGGATCACAGGTGTGCACCACCGTGCCCAGCTACACAAACATTTTTTATTTATCAGGAAAAGACTTGAAGTCATTTTTCCTGGAATGCTAAGTACATTCCTAATGAGATGAATTGTTTTCTTAAGTAACACATAGACTTGGGAGTGACTGGTGTCAGGGTTGACGGTGTTTTCCTTTTTGTTTCTGTCAGGTGCCTGGAAGAATTCTGTGGAAGAGTGGACACCAGAGGACTGGAGTGAAGATGTAAGTGTGGTGTCCACTCAAACCTTTCTTCTCTTGCTGTGCCCCAGTGTCCCTGCTTTAGGGAAAGCCCAGTGCTCTTTATGTCATCATCTTAGCTTTTTGTTTTTTTTTGGTTTCTGCTCCTTGATGCTTAAAGAGTTTACTTTTTCAGTATGAATCTCAGAAACTGAGTGCACTTTCCAGGTTTTGGTGTTGAGACTCTGTTTCTCTATGTGGCCCTGGCTGTCCTGAAACTAGGCTGTTAAACTCACAGAGGTCCTCCTGCCTCCCAAGTGCTGGGGAAGAAGACAGTACCACCATACCCAGCTCTTTTTGTTTTTGTTTTTCAAGACAGGGTTGCTCTTTGTGGCCTCACAGAGACCCGCCTGTCCCTGCTGGGGTTACAGCTGCATGCCGCTGCTCCTGGCTTTGTTTTGTTTTGTTTTGTTTTTTATAAAAGAGGGTTATTAGGCTGGGTGGGAGAAAGGGCATGGGGAAGAGTCAGGGACAGTGAATGATCCATGAGGGCAAAGAAGGAGAGAAAGTGGGTGCTGAGGACTGAGAGAGAGCAGAAGAATGTGGGGATAGAGGGAAACTTAGCATACTATGGGGAGGAAGGTGGGGGGAATAGGGTTTCTCTGTGTGGCCTTGGCTGTCTTGGAACTCACTCTTGTAGACCAGACTGGCCTTGAACACACAGAGACCCATCTGCCTCTCCTTCCCCAGCGCTGGGATTAAAGGTGTGCGCCACCACTGCCTGACTTGTTTCACTTTATATTTAATGACTTCTTTATTTTTTTATGCGTATTGGCATTTTGCCTGAAAGCATGTGTAAATACCATCTACATGCCTGTTGAGAGTAGAGGCTAGAAGAAATTAGGTTCTTTGGACCTGCAGTTAGTTAGAAGTGAGTGTTCACAACTTTGTAGGTGTTAGGAATAAACTTTAAAAAAATGTTTTTTTTTTTTTTTTTTTTTTTTTTTTTTTTTTTTTTTTTTTTTTTTGAGAAATGGATTGTAAGCCTGAGCTTAGAATTCTTCTCTAAGAATTAATGAGCCTGTGGGTTAGTGGGACCCATTATGTGGCTACATATCTAAATGTGGAAGTTGCAGGAAATGTGGTGACAATAAAAAGGGTTTGAATACAAAAGACATTTTGTATTCAAATGAATTCAGATGAATTCAGCTGAATATGTGAATGTGTGATTGAATGTGTGATTTCTGACTGGGGATCATGTGGCTTCTTTGTATCCTTGATCTGAACACAGGCCATAGGCAAGCGCTTGCCCGGGTGGGATTGATGTGTGCGCACTGTGCACAGTGCTGTTTACCATGAAAACAGAGACAGCATGTTTTTCTCCCATCGTTCTCGGCGTGCAAGTCTCAAGTTTAGTACACAACTCTTGCTTGTATTGTGTCAGATTTCCAAAATTGCTGTTTCAGTTGCCAGTTTAAGTTTCATAAAAATTGCTAATTTTGGTTTAGGATCACAACAGGATTTCTAACAATTCTAAAATATCCCTAAACATCTACCATTTTGTACTATATTTTTAGGTGAGTTCATTCCAGTATTGGTCAGAGTATATTTTGAAGGTGCTCAACCTGAGCCAAAGTTTAAATGTTTTAAAAAATTATTTATTAATGGGGAAGAAGTGAGCGTTCTAGTGTAGGTTAAGGACTAAGTTGGAATTAATGCCTTGGGCACACAGGCACACATTCACATAAGTAACAATAAACCAAAAAATAATAAGCCTTTGGCTCCAAAATGAAATAAAGATTACTAATCAGTGAAATAGAAAAGAAACCTGTCTTTAGAGGGAAAAAAAAAAAAATCAACCTTTTCAAAGTTCCCTGCATTTCACCACTGTTGCTCTTTGGTGTCTCCAGAATGTGGCACCGTGGGTAGGACTTGAAGGCTGGTCCCACTTGTGTGAAGGGACTCCTGCAGCTGCACTGAGCCACAGTTAGCTCCCTTTCCTGGTGACACAAATGTGCCTAAGAAGGTCTCCAGTCAAATATGCTTTGCATTTGGATTGACCAGACCAAAGGTAAAAGTTTTTTTCTTCTCACTTCCCACAGCTCTCCGAAACAAAAGTGTTCACTGCCTCATCTGTTCCAGCAGAGAACCATGTCACGCCTGGGCAGAGGTAAAAGCAAAAGCTGGTTCTTCTTTTACTTTTTTTCCCATTCAAAGCGTAATGAAAACTTTGCTTTAGGACAACTGCTTACATGTCTTACTCTAATCTTTTATATTCTTTTGCAGCTCTATTTAGTCATTATATCCTCTCTCTGCAAGGATCATCACTTCATTCACTTCTTACAAGCTATGTCCAACAATGATTGAATGGCCGTTCTTGTGATTTAGCAGTTGGGCAGAGCTTATATTACTAAACCTCGCTATAAGTCATAGTTACTCTTTACTTAGTAATTTTTTTTTTTTCTTTCTGCCCTTGAGATAGGTTCTCACTATGTACCCTAGGCTGTCCTGGAGCTTAGAGTTCTTCCTGCCTTTGACTCCGGAGTTCTGGATGATATCATTATTCCCAGCTAAAATAATTACCTATTTAAAGGATAAGCCAGGTGGTGCTGGCTCCTGGCACTTGGGAGGCAGGAGCAGGCAGGGTTCTGTGAGTTCGAGGCCAGGGTGGACTACAGCGCCAGTGGAGGACAGCCAGGGTACACAGAGAAACCGTGTCTTGAAAAAAAATAAAAGGAATAAATTTACTACATTAAATTCTTTGGCTTCTTTATTCAGTTGTTTAGATGCATGATTTAAATGTCATTTTAGATAGGTATATTAGGTATAATGTGCATAACTTTCAGGAAAAGAAGGGCCTTTGAGGTTCCTATTCCCCGTGTGCCTGTGTGAGGGTGCAGGAGTGGAACTGGAGGCAGACAGCCTGCGATGCTCTTCAGGAGCCTGTCTGCCCTGAGCACACTGTCTTAGCCTCGTTGGTGTGTGTGCTCGTGCACACATGTGCATCGTGCCATGCGCCGCAGCGCTCTTGTGCGAAAGCCAGAGATCAGAGGGCACCTGCTGGGATTCAGTTTTTTCCATCATTTGGTTTTACAGCTCAAACTCAGGTCGTCCAGCTTGGCAGAACCCATCTTTACCCCTGCCCCACTATTTTTTGGTGGGGGTGGAATTTCTGTAACTTGTATTTTTTTAATCTACTGTATTGGGGTTTCTCATACACCTTTACCTTCCTCCTAACTCCACCACACTGGATTGGAGAGAAAGGAGATTAGAAGGGACAGGGGACATAGGCCTCTTTAGACTCAATTCCTTGGGCAAGCCCAATCTTTGTAGTCAGGATATCTCCAACTTCTCACCAAACTACAGCAACATTACTAATAGCAGCAGGACGAACCCGCAGCAGCCTTCTTCTTCCTCTTTCTCTCAGTGCTCTGGCATTTTATACCCTCTCACAATCTTCAGAACTAAATTGCCTGCAGATGGCCAACATCATGCCCCTGTCAGATTCCCCAGGAGGCAATCCCAGTTAACAGCTCTGGACAAGCTAAAAGCAGCCCCATATACAACACTTGGGATTAAAACAAACATATTTACATGACACAGCTGAGTATTTAAAAAAAATCAAAACTTCCACTACAAGTTTCTCAGTGGCTGGGAATTGTTAAGTAGGCTAGGCTGGCCTGGCCAGCTTGCTTAAGAACTCATGTATCTCCTCTTCTCCATTGCCACCACACCCTGCAATTTTCGTATTGATTTAGGAGATCAAATTCAGAATCTTTTACTTGCAAGGAAATCTATTTACTGACTGATCTATCTATGCAGCCCTGAGGATAATAAGGCTCTGAAAACTGTACTGGATCGTAAGGTTTGATAGTCTGTGCTCACTTGTAATCCCAGCATTCCTAAGGCTGTGGCAGAAGGATCATGAGTTTAAAGATAATTTCTTCTTTTTAGTGAGAACAAAAATTAATGTATGCACATAATTTTGCTGTGTGGTCCAAGCCGGTCTCACCACAGTCCTGCTTTCTCAGATTCCCCTAGCTCTACAGATGTGAGTCACCACACCAAGCTTCCGCTGAATTCTCACAGAATCATACTTTTCATAGTAGTTTTAAACACCTTTGAAAATGGTCCTAAGGGTCCATGTGACTGCCTGCTACTGCTGGTTCTCTGACTTTAATGCAAGGATGAAGACACATATATGTTTTAAAGGTAATTTTAAGATTAGAAAAAAATTAAATGCTAGTGGAATTAAAGCCTGGCTATAGGTTTATGTGTGTGCATCTTAAAGGAGCCAAGTCTGAATCAGGCTTCTCAAAATCAAGCTAAATGAGACATTTGGACTTTATTATAGGAGAGAAAAGGTGCATGGACTCCATTGTATCTATGACTAAATGAATTTACTAGTAGAAATTTAATTTTTTAAAAAGACAGTTGAGGGGGCTGGAGCGATGGCTCCTTGTTCTTGCTTAAGTCCCAGGTTAGATTCTCAGCGCTCACAACTGTCCATAACTCCATTTCCAGGGGATCTGCTGCCCTCTTCTGATTTCCATGGGGATCGGGTGTACATGTGTTACACAGGTATACATGAAAGTGAAACACTCATACATAAATTAAGTGTGAAAGAAAAATTGAGCTAGGCATAATGTTGCATTTCTTTGATGTCAGCATTCAGGAGGTAGAGGCAGAAGGACCAGGAGTTCAAAGCAAGACTCAGATACAATGTAAATTTGAGGCCAGCTTCCTAAAACCTTATATTAAAAAAAAATAAAAATAAAAATGGCCACAGCTGAGCGCAGTGGCGAAGGCCTGTAATCCCAGCACTCAGGGAGGCAGAGAGGCAGGTCTTTGTGACTTTGAGGACAGCCTGGTCTACAGAGATGAGTTCCAGGACAGTCAAGTCTAAACAGAGAAACTCTGACTCTAAAAAATCCACAAAAAAAAAAAAAAAAAACCAAAAAAACAAAAACGAAAAAATACTAGACCACTTTAAAATATATATAATAACATCCTTTTATTGGCCAAGCCTTTGTCTTCGCAAATTCTCAGCACAACTAATCAGACAGTAATAGGCCCTGCAAACTCCCCTGCTACCAATGACTATTGTCCTTAGAGTTTGGCAGTTCACTTTTATTTCAGTATGATAGGTGTTTGTTTGAGAAAGGATCTCTTGTAGCCTTGCCTGGCCTGGAACCTATATAGACCTGCTACTCACAAAGATCCACCTGCATCAGCCTCCTTAAAGTTTTGGGCCACCATGCCTGATTTATTTCATTCAGTATGAGGTCTTGAGGAATTCAGCTGTTAGCAACAGTCATCAAGCATTTATGGCTCACATCTTGTCTATTTTGTCGTAAATACTAAATGCTGGCAGCAGATCGACATCCCGGAAACAGTGATGTGTTTTCCAAGCACATATCTGATGGTTCCGTGTGGAAGTTAGCTACTGAGTTTCCTGGGCTCAGATAAAACCTTCCTTACTTCTCAATGACCAGTAACTGGTCATTCCTATCAGTGATTTTTAAAGCATTTCTTATTCATGGTAAATGTGTTTGCATTTTACTTTTTATTTTGATACAGGGTCTGAATGTGCTGCTGCATCTGAACAGATGCCAGAGGGCATTTTGTGACAGTTGGGTCTCCCCTTCACCATGTGGGCTCCTTGGATTGAATTTAGGTTGTCAGGCTTTGGTGGCAGATGTCTTTTCTCGCCAAGCCACCTCACTTGTCCAAAATCTGGGGGTTTTGCAGTTCTTTTATTTATGTTTTTATTTTTGAGGGCCGCTCTCTTTATACAGCCCTGGCTGTTCGGGAAGTCATTGTGTAGACCAGCGATCAGCCTGCCTCTGCCCTGGGTGTTGGGATAAGCGTGTGTGCCACCACTAGGGCTTGTACTGGAGACCCTGCCATACTCATACTTCACTTGAGTCTTACTAACTAACCTTTTGGAATAGAACTTGCTTTGGTTCTGGAAGTGTGGCAAGTTTATGATCGCCATATAAAGTACGCATAGCCTAAGTGCATCACTGGACTTGCTAGAACATATTAGAACATTGACTTAGTTTTATGAGCACCATATGTAACATACAGAATTTATGTGCATCACTGGACCTGGGACTCCTACATTAGAACATTAACTTGGGTTTGCATTATTAGCTGCCGAATTGAAATTGGTTTTGGGACAGTAAAAATGATTGTGTATAAGGATAGGAACTCTGGCTAGAAACTTGTTCAGTATGAGGAATAAAGCCTGAATGATTTAACTACTCAGAGCCCGTCTCACTGGCATGGTGAGAGTTTCAGTTAGAGAACTGTCGGGGACAAGCCTTTGTAAGGACTCATTGAGCTCTGTCCTGGGAACCCTCTGAAAGGTCTCACCCTGTTGGGTAAGTCATTTTTGCAGCAGGGCAGGCAGCATTTACCCCAACTCCTTTTTTTTTTTTTGAGGGCCATCCCCTCAAATTGTAATATTTAATGGTCTTTTGGCTAGAGTGATGGGTCCATTATACGATACTTTGTTAATTTGTAATTCCTTTATTCTCAAATATTTTAGAGAGAAAATTATATGCTTAAGTAAGTTATAGGGTAGAATACAGGATTTATGTGGATATTTAAAAAAGTTTCAGACTTAAAACTTGTAGCTTGGCTGAGGTCTTGGTAATTTAAGAATATTGATTCACTCTGTTTCAGGAAAGCTGATGCTGGGGATGGCGGCATACAGTTTTAATCCTAGCACTGAAAAGATGAAGGCCAGGCCAACTCTAGTTAGGGCTACCCTGCTGTACATAGTGACGCTTGTCTCAAAGCAAACAAAAATCAAGAAAGTTCAAAAGGGAAAGACAAACTTGAGATCAAGTAATGAGATTTGTAAGATGCTGCAGTTCTTTTTGCATCATTGTAACATTCTTCAGGTTCTGTAACCTGCTTCTCTTTTAATCTCTCCGAAACTTCATTTTCCAGTGGGTTTGCTTATTTGATCTCTAGCTTAAATTTCCTTTATATTGATTTGCTCTAGTTCACTGACAGCTGATTGCTGCTTGTCTTTCGTCTGCTTAGCATTGATCTGGTGGCCTTGCTCCAGAAGCCTGTCCCTCCTGCTCAGGCTGCGGAAGTCAACTCCTTTGAAACGTCCCAGCAGCAGGGCTTTAGCCAAGCCCTTGTCTTCACAAATTCTCAACACAACAATCAGATGGCACCAGGGACTGGCCACTCCACTTCTGCCAACACCTATTCACCTCAGAGCTTGGTAATTCACTTTGATTTCAAGTTGGGGTCTTGAGGAGTTCAGCTGTTAGCAACAGTTATCAAGCATTTATGGCCCACATCTTGTCTATTTTGTCGAAAATACTCAATGCTGGCAGCATAGTGACATCCCGGAAACAGTGATGTGATGATTTCCAAGCACATATCTGATGGTTCCGTGTGGAAGTTAGCTACTGAGTTTCCTGGGCTCAGATAAAACCTTCTCGAGTTCATGTCAGTGAGTGGTAACTCTGGTGCAGGCATCCTTTTTATTAGTGATTGTTTTCAACATATTTATTGTGGGTATGCTTGTGAGTATGCACATGTGCACGCCATGTCTCACTTGAAGAGGCCAGGGATCACCTGTAGGAGTGAGTTCTTACCATCCACTATGTGGGCCTTGTGGGCAGGGGAAGTGATTGTTTCCCCTTAGGGACTCCAGGATAGCCAGAGCTATCCACAGAGAAATCTTGTACTAGGTGGGCAACGGAGTGGGGGTGGGGCAGAGAACCACAGAGAAATCCTGTACTGAGAGAGAGAAAAAGCCTGTACTTAGAGAAAGAGAGGTCTAACATGAACAAACAAAACCAGTGTTTTTCTCTTTGCTGTAGCTTCCTGTGGGGGACACATTGTCTGGAGGAGGACACATTGTTTTGTTTGTTTGTTTGTTTGTTTGTTTAGTTGCTGTGCTTACTTATGGGGGTGAGTGCTGTTGTTAATCACCTGGCACAGGACTGTGGGCGTTTGCTCAGCCTTCTGTGTGCCAGTGTGACCAGGGAGTGCTCAGGACAGTCCTGCTATTCCTGTCATTAGAGGTGATCACTGTTTCCAGATTATGAAGGTTTGTGTTTAAGTTGGCAATGCATATTTTGTTATTTACTTTTTTTAAGCTTATTTTGGGTTGGAGAGAAGGCCCAGCAGATAAGGCACTTATTGCTCTTGCAGAGGACCCAAGTTTGGTTCCCAGCACCCATGAATTGAATAAAATAATTAAAAAGGGTCTGTCGTCTTAAGCTCACATCCATGTCAGGGCAGATGCCGGTTTAGCTGGTAACTGCTGAGGCACACTCATATTTGCACGTACTTTTCCCTGCAACAGTGTTTACCTGTTGAGGTGATCCAGTTGCAGCGTTCTTATCCAGAGACACTTGTGTTTGCACACTTGGAGTAATCACTAAGGGCTTGTTTTCTTTACATCTCTTTTAAGTCATCCGTCCTTGGCTCAGGATTTGGAGAGCTGGCCCCATCAAAAATGGTGAATATCTCGAGTGCTCAGATTTTGGACAAGTTGAAAGCACCAAGTTTGACCCCATTTCCTGCCACTTCAAGTGCACAGCAGAGCAGTGCATGCCTCCCAGCCACTACTACTTCCTGGGACCGCACGCCCTCAGCACCCCAGGCCTCAGTCCTCAATCATTTTGGTAAGTGTGGTTTGTTTTTTTTTTTTTTTTTTTTGCGTTGGTTTCTTTGATTGAGTCATCAGCAGAGCCTGTTGTATGTGAACATATGGAAGGACCAGACTCTCTTAGATAGAATACTTGTAGCTTTTGAAAGTTACGTCAGCTGACTAAAGTGCCTACGTATAAATAACAGAAAAGAGCAAAAATCTTGCACTGTGGCTCATACCTGTAATCCCAACACTGGGGAGGTGAAGACAGGAGGGTTACCATAAGTTTGACACCAACCTAGAGTGAAAACTTATCTCAAAAAAGTCATTTTGGGCCAGCTTGTCACATGCCTTTCTTTAATCTCAGCACTTGGGAGGCAAGCTGGTCTCCATCAGTTTGAGCCCAGTGTGGTCAAATACTGAGTTCCAGATCAGCCAGCACCATATACTGAGCCCCTTCAAAAACAAATAAACAGAAAAGCCCAAGCAATTGGGGCTGGAGAGGTGAAATAGCATTAAGAGTACCCAGGTTGGAATCCTAGCTTCTACAGGGTGATGCTCAGGTTCAGGTAATCCAGTGCCCTTTCATGCCCTTCATGACCACATCTACAGATATGATATACAGATATGCTCATAGATAAACACCTATACACATAAAAGAGAATTACTTTTAAAGCGAGAAGGTGAGCAGATGAGAAGACGAAAGGCAAGTGTACAGTATGGGGAACAGGCACGGGTGGTACTTACTTAGTTTTGTTAGAGCGATGTGGAAAAGCCATGAAATCACTGAGGGTCTAGGGATGCAGCTCAGAGGTAGAGTGCTTTGTTGGTGTGTGTGTGAGGCCCTGTATTCTAGATCCATACTACAAGGGAAAAAAAAGCCCACAAGAGCAAAAGAGATGTGACATATCCTAATCTGTCATTTTGCAGTGTCCATCATGACTTGGTCAAGCTTTACGTTCTTTATTTCTTTCCTTTTTTTTTTTTTCCTCCAAGACTGAGTTTCTCTTTGTAGCCTTGGCTGTCCTGGGCTTGCTTTGAAACCAGGCTGGCCTCGAACTCACATCAATCCACCTGCCTTTGCTTTCAACATGCTGGGATTAAAGACATGCACCACCATCGTCTGTCCCCAGCATTACTTTCTATTTTAATGGGAACATGTGTAAACCTGATGTTTTCTAAACAGAACTCCCAATAAGTCCCCTTGTAAGATTAAGCTATCATATGCCAGATATACTCACATGAAAGTTGTGTGCGGGACAATGGGGGATTTTTGAGTTGATTACACGGTTGCTTTTGTGTGTCATGACATGACTTGCTGTGCTCAGAGCAGTGTCTGAGGCCATTCCTTCAGCACTACTGTCTGCCTGACAGGAGTAGTTACACTTAACTGCAGATTTGCTGAAGGAAGATGCGATAAGCAATGAGCCATGCTTGTATAGATATTCTAGGGCACAGCAAGCCACTCTTGTTGGTTAATTTTGTTGGCCCCCTGTTCCTACCACATACAAACAGCCTGGATCCAACTAGCATTCAACACTGTTCAGATGACAGTTGTAAGCCTTTGCTGTTAACTTTCCCACATAATTAATAACGAGAGAAGTTTATACATAGAAGCATGCTGTTTCCATGTCTTTTATTCCAGGTTGAAATTTGACTTATTTAAATGGGTTGTGCTACTTTTATTTTCTTTTTAAACATGGCTTTGTTGCCCAAGCTAGCTTTTCACTCGCAGTACTCCTGCCACAGCCTCTAAGTGTTCTAAGAGTTCAGTATGCACCCTGACACCCAGATAGTTTCCATTTCTTTTACGTGATTTCCATCAGTACAACTAGAAGAGATTTGTTTTTAAATTGTAATCATCATGTTCTAGCAATTGTTCTTGTTTTATTGAGAAAAGGATGTGTTCATTACCACTTTGTTTTTCATAGCTCGTCCATGTAATAGCAGACTGAAAAGAACAGGCTGTACATACTGAGTTAAAGATGAGGGCGGGCACTGCATGTTAAAATGGAGCAGCATCAAAAGTGTGAAACTTAGGTAGTTAATGTCTAGGTGTCTTTGGTCAGGAACCTGGAGGAACAGAGTTGCTTCTCTAGAGCAAGAACGAGAACAGCAGGAGAAATGGTTATGATTATCGCGTGCTCTTTGTGCACAGAATACATAGCGTGAGAGCAGCTTCTGAAGGCATGCACGGGACTGCTGGCTGGGAAGATGGCCGCTTTGTAAAGTGCCTCATGTGTAGGGAGGGGCACCTGTGTCTGCTGTCTTGGCACCACATCAAAACTGGGTGCGCACTGACATACCTGTAATCCTAGCATTGCCGAGGAAGGCAGGTGAGCCCTTCCAAGTTCAGTCAGAGACCTTGTCTCACCAGCATAAGGTAGAGAGTCACTCTAGAAAACATTTAGTATTGGCTCCACCCCCTACCCCCTACCCCTTGCGCACACACACGAAAATACAGCAAAACTGATAAAATAATAGGGATCTCAATCTCTGCTAATAGGCAGGTATGCACGGCACTTCCTTAGACCTCTCTACTTAATGTCTCCTGCATGGGAGCTAAAGAACAGATCAACCAGGCACCTTTTCAGTTACCAGCTGTACCTCTGTTTTCCCTTTCCTGTTTTTCCCTGCTCTTTGCTCTTTTCTAGTAGGTAATTCAGAGAACCTGGTGGTGGAGCCTCCTGAAAGTGAAGACGTGTTGCTTGTTTATTCTTTCCACATTTCTTAGACTTCAAGTCTCAGCCGGAACCATCCCCAGTTCTTAGCCAGTTGAGCCAGCGGCAGCAGCAGACCCAGGCAGTCAGTGTTCCTTCTCCTGGTGTGGAGTCCTTTCCTTCTCGGGCAAAGCACGGAGAATCAGCACCTGTAGATGGGCCTTCTGCTGTCAACAGACTTTTGCAACTTCCTAACATGGCTGTTGAAAATATTGTATCTGCCCACCAACCGCAGCCCAAACACATTAAACTCCCTAAGCGTCGGATACCTCCAGCTTCTAAGGTAGGCATTCCATCATGATTTTTGTTCCAAGGGGTTTATTTCACACTAGCTCAAGTATTAGAAAACTAAAACTTGACATGTCTTCAAGCATAGCTCATTGCTTTGGGAGGATTTGGTCATTTCTCAGGCACTGGGCTAATTAGAAAGTGTGAATTCATGATGGGAGCTAGAGCCTTGTAGTTCAAGTGCAGACCCTGAGGATCTAACTTGTGTGATGACCTGACGAGATTATGCTTTCATGACTGGTATGTCCCTGAAAATAGCAGACTGTCCTCATTGACCAACTGCCATGATACATCCCCCAACAACTCTAAAGCCATTTATAATATTAACGTGGACCATTCCTCTGGAATCCATTAAAGCTGTTTGCTCTGTTTTCTTCAGTGTTTGAAAGGTTCTCTTGCACTTTCTTTTCTTTTTCTTATTTATTTTGACCAGTGTAGCTTAAGGAAGCTACTTGCTTGAGCCTTTCGTAAGCCTTGAGGCCTGGAGCCCTGCCCTCTGTTCTGACAAGCTTTGCTTTCCTAGGTCTCCACTTCAGCAGTGGAAATGCCTGGTTCTGCAGATGTCACAGGGCTAAATGTTCAGTTTGGGGCCCTGGAATTTGGATCAGAGTCGTCTCTGTCTGAGTTTGGATCAGCAGCTTCAGCCAGTGAAAATAGTAATCAGATTCCTATCAGCTTGTACCCGAAGACTTTAAGGTACAAACCTCATTTCTTTAGGTGTGACTAAGCATAGTCCTTTCTTTGCAAAGTGAAACAGAACAGTCAAGATATTGGAGAACATAGTATAATGTTTTGTGCAGCTCTCAACAGGAGAGTTTGTTATGGCATACACTCATTTCTCCTGTGCCTTGCCTCCTTTTGACAAAGTACATTTCAGAACTTGTCTGATCTGGACGTTTTATAACTAGAATGGTATAAAATGTGGCTTTTGTGCCTCTTAAAGTTTTCGAAGATCATGGGTCCTGTGTGTGTGCTTCTGTTGCCAAGCATTTCACTGAGCATATGTGGCACATACGTAGATAGGTTCTTTTCTGACTGCTTTTGGTGAATCACATTGCTCTATTACAGTGTTCCTAGCAGCAGACTTCTCAAGACCTGTGGGGACCACTCCAATCAGTCACACTGTACGGAGCAGCAGCCCTTACACTCCCCTAGCAATCAAGAGGACCCGACTTCTCCACAGCTTCCCAACACTTGATTTTGCTTCAGTGAAATAGTTTGCAAATAGAAAAGATTTGAGATTTTTCTATGTCTAGAGACAAAACCACACAAAAGGCAATAGTGCATTGTAGTTAATGTCACTTTAGACTATGATTCGGAACCGATTGGGTGAATTTACTGAAGTTGTCACATGAGCAGTGTATGTGTAACATCCTGTACTCTTTTCAGTGACCCTTTGAACGCCTCGTTACCAATGACCAGTGCTGTACAGAACTCTACCTACACAACTTCAGTCATCACCTCCAGTCTGACCAGCTCCTGCTTGAGCTCCACTAGTCCAGTAACAACACCTTCCTCTTATGACCAGAGCTCTGTGCATACCAGAATTGCACACCAGAGCTCTGCAAGCCCACCAGATCCTGCTCCAGGCTCTGTGCTTGTAAGTGCTTCTCTTGGTTCTTTTCTTGGCATATACTCCTTGGAAGTTAGGGTGCAGGTTTATGTATGTGCATTGCATACATGTGGAGGTCAATAGGACAACTTGCAGGAGTTGTCATATGTCCCATCTTACTGTATCTTGATCTTATATGAGGTATCTGACTCAGAGCATCATCCTTGGCAACTGGTGCTTTTGCTTACAGAGCCATCTTGCTGGCCCAGCGTAGTAATTTAGGGAATAATTTGACAGACATAACGTGTCATTTATCAAGGTAATGGCAGAACCTTCCTCCCCAGCAATTGTCTTTTGCCGAGGCCTACAGTGCCAGCTGTGAACTGTTTCCTGTGTAACAGTCATCAGATCTAATCAGAAAAGTGTTGGTCACCTCCATAACAGGCTTGCCTTTTTGTTTTTATTTTTTTGAGGCAGGGCTTCTTTCTCTGTGTAGCCTTGGCTGTCCTAGACTTGCTTTGTAGATGAGGATGGCCTCGAACTCACAGAGATGTGCCTGCTTCTGACTCCTGGGTGCTGAGATTATAAGGGTGCACCACGGGGCCAGACTCAGGCTTGTCATTTATTAAACAGCAGGCTCCTATCAGTTTGGTCTGGATTGTTGCATACAAGGCCAGCAGCCTAGTAAGACTGTTGATGACAGTTCCCCCAAACTGAGGCTAGCCAGTAGAGGGGAAGTATTCTAGCCCAGTCCACCTTGATTTCTCTGTCATGTCAAGCCATAGCAGTGGGGTTGTAGAATCTAGCTCTAATGAGATCCATCGACAGTAATGACGATTGCTTGTATTGTTCTGGGGCCTTCTGGACCTTCCTGACCAAGAACTATAGGCTAGGGTATCCAGCTTCTAATACTGGAATTTTTGTTTACTAACCTAATGGTTCTGAGGATAGCTTGATCCACGCATACTGGACATCGCCATTTAGTCTCACAGACCATTTTAATAGAATTTGGGAGAAAAGCAACAGGCTTCTGTGTGGAGGCAGATAGAAAAGAGAGCTAATTCATAAGGTTAGGAGGTTGGCACGAAGCTTTAAGTAGCCTTAAAGAAGCAGCTTGCATGGAGCTGTGTGTGCTGGACCCTCAGAACTGGAGGAACATACTGTGAAGCTCCACGTGTGTGCTGGGAATCAAATCCAGATGCTGTGGGAGAGCAGCCAGCCCTCTTACTGCTGTGCCACCTTTCCAGTGCTCGTTTGGCATTTGTTGGATAAGGGGTGTGTCCACTGCTTTTCCCACTGCTGCTCTTTCTGGGAGGTGTCTGAGCTGTGTGGCCTCCATTGCCAGTTGCTCTGTGGCTTTTCCCAGCTTCAGGAGGCAGGTGGCATTTTGTAAAGATGGCATTTTACCATCACTATGTCTTGGGTATGTTCAAGTCTAGGATCTGCATTTTTGTGGACAACATATTCATGACTTACTCTGCACTAACAACTTCACAAAGGTGTGTCTTAAGGTCATGTCTCATTTTTTTTCTTAGAAATATTTTTTAAGGTTTGATGGTTGCTGGTATGGAAGTTACTCTTATTTTTAAATTCTTGCATTTTAGAATTTGCATTAGAAATATAAAGTGTCTCAATTTAATTACAATGAGATTTCATCTTCCTTATATACTTGAATAACTTGTTAATTGTTTTAGGAGTGCTTTTAGCCTCCCGTACTCATTACTTTCCTAAATTCTGAATCTGGTTTTCAAACGCCCACTTCTTATGATACATTAAAGCTAGTTGTACTACCTGTCCTCTTTTATTTTCATTTTCCTTTTATATTAAAACAACAAAAACGAAAAAGACAAGCTGGACGTGGTGCTGCACGCCTGTAATCCCAGCACTCGGGGGCAGAGGCTGGCACAGATCTCTGTGAGTTCAAGGCCAGTCTGATCTACAGAGTGAGTCCAGGACAGCCAAGGTTACACAGGGAAACCCTGTCTGGGAAAACAAACAAACAAACAAGCAAACAAAAGAATGAAAGAGATTCGGGTTAGAGAGCCATTCCTGCTCTTGCACCCGCTTCAGGCAGCTTACAGCCCACCTGCAAGTCCAAGACCCTCTTGCAGCTTCTCCTGTGCCTTAGTGTTGTGCACGCACATAGGGAAGTTGTGCACCCAGAAGGGAAGGTAAGGCGCCCTCTCTGCCGCAATGTACGGTTGCTGCCGTGCCATTTGAGAGTCCGCTCTGGTGATTGTCTGGACTTGTGCACGTGCTAACTCTTTCTCTTTGTTCTTTGTAGAATGGACATGGTGGTGGCCGGAGTCAGCACCCAGTAGACAGTAAGTTTCTATTCCTGTTCCAGCTGGTGGAGACCAAATAGAAATGTGGCTAACATAATGTGGAAAACACCAGCTGATCAGTGCTTCATTCTCCAGAGTCCGTACTTGTACGTCTCCCCTGGAAACCATTTTTTTATTGTTTTGAGGTGGTCTCATTCATAGCTCTACCTGCCTTGGAGCTTGGAAGAGCTATGCTTGTCTCTGCCTCCTCAGTGTCAGGATCGAGAATGTGCACGACCACACCATGCCCTAAAAGTGCTTTTTCTGAGAGGTCCCTGTATTTCCTTGTCACAGGCTGACCTAGACTCATCTGGGAATCCCAGGGGGCAGTTGACAGGCCCTCTTTTCCAGCCTTCTCCCTCTCCCTCCCCATTCCTTCTTCTTTTATAAAGTTATCCATGGATGGTGGACTAGGTGCCTTTTGGCCTCTTAATCTGGGGTGAGCAGCCTCATGGTGTTTTCACTCCGTTGTTGCAAGCACTTGTTTCATCTTGAGAGTCATGCTTGCTAATCATAATTTTTGTTTTTGTTTTTTGAGACAGGGTGTCTCTGTGTGGACTTGGCTGTCCTGGACTTGCTTTGTAGACCAGGCTGGCCTCAAACTCAGAGAGATCCACCTTCCTCTGCCTCCTAAGTGCTGAGATTAAAGGTTTGTGCCACCACCGCATAGCTAACAAGTAATTCTTCTTGCAAGGCAAACAAACAAACATAAAAGAACATAGAAAACTTCATTATCAGTTATATTCCAAATTTATGATTCAGTCAACATTAACCTAGTAATCTTTGCTATCCTGTCAAATCTAATTGGAGGCTGCAAAAGCCTCAACTGAACCCAACTAAAGAAAAAAATTATAATGCATTCCATTACCCACACTGCATTGAATCATCGCTGTTCCATACAACCCAACTGTCAGACTCCTTCACCTAATAATTTATATTTTCCTGAGAACTTTCAGTATTCACCACTTTCCTTTTACTCATTTATACTGATTACATCCCTCTCACAGATAAGAAATAAAATACCCATTATACTAGTTATATCCTCTACAGTCCATCTGTCCCTTGGAGGCCTCTTTTTCAATAGTATTTTTACCAGTTGAATTATCACTGAACGCTATAGCAACAACAGTAGCCCTACTCAATTTATCTTTTTACGTATGCCTAATTTATGTCACCTCACCGTCTTATTAGCAGCCAACATCAATGTCAGTAGAGTGCCTGCGAGTGCCTGCCTAGCATTTATGCAGCTCTGCATTCAGTCTCCAGGAACACATAACATGAGGTGTCCTGGCGGAAGCTTGTAGCAACAGCATTTGGAAAGCTAGCGAATAGGAAGCTCCTGGTCAGACCCTGTCTCAACAAACAAACAAACAACAAACAACCTAAAAAAGACAAAGGGCATGTGGTGGTACAGAGTGTAATTTCAGCATTCAGGAGATGGTTGCAGAAGGATCAGGAGTTCAAAGTTCTTACTTTGGTTACTTAAAACTTCAAGGTTGACCTATGCTGCCTCTTTGTCTCAGAAGAAAGTGAGCTGCCCCTGCTGCTTTCAATTCTCCCTTCTTAGTAGAGAGCTTCCTAAAGGGAGGTCTGCAGGAGGAAAGGAGGCCTCCTGGAAAAGGCGATGATGTGTTTCCAAGCACATATCTGATTTATATGTGTGGATGACAGTGAAACTGAGTCTTTTCTGAAGGTCATGGATTGTTTCCGTGTCGTCTCTGAACATAAAAACCCAGTCTGTGTCTTTTGAAATGTATACTTGAAAGTCCCCACTGCATTTGCAAGTAGGTGTTGGTATGAATTCTTCTGCAGAGCTGAGATGAACAGACCTTCCACATTTGCCGTCAGGGGCCCGTGCGCTCCGGCAGCCTGGGCCTTCTCTGGTGCCAAGTGGATGCAACAGGCATTCTGCGGGGGTCTTGCCCATCTGCTTTTCTTCCCCTCATGCCATGCTTTGAAGGGAAATTTGTCTCACTACATACACATCAGATTCTGCTTATCTTTTCTTTTCTGGGAGCTTGTGCCAAACTTCTGGAAATGGGAGAGATAGTCGACATCAAGAGAATTTAAAGGTGTTATTTTTCTGTTCTTTGTCCATACCCAACCCATCTCCTTATTTAGTCCTATCTGCAAGAAATGGAGCCGTGTGGTAGCATGCTGAAACGCTGTCCTCGGAACTGTAGCATGCAGGTTATCATACCTGAATGTGACTAGTATGTCTCCAGTACTAAGGGTTGCTTCTGGAGCTAAAGAGATCCATTTCTTGCAGCTACTTCATCCGTTCCAGCTCCAAACGCGACAGACCCTCCTGCCCTCCCGTCTGTGGGAACCTTGCCCTGCCCCACCCCCTGTGCTGCTCTTCTGCCATCTTCACCCCAGCACACAGCCACTTTGCCCTCCTCGTCCCAGGCTGGTGACCTGTCCAGCAGCCCCCTTTCTCAGCTTAGCAGGTATGTGGGTGGCATGAGAAAAGAAGGGGTGGCGACGTGGGTCGTCCAAGCTGACACCAGAAGAAGCACCGCTTGTTGCCTCTGATGGGCTGTCATTTAGACCCTGGCTTTCATACGTGACTTACAGTTTGGCCAAAGTCCCTAGGAATGAAACCCTTGACTGCTTCTCGTGTTCCTGCTGGCGGAATCCGAGGTCTCCTGGGAAGCATGCTTAATGCTTAATGCCTCTCCTGTCCCAGTTCTTGACCCACGCCATTTTAATGTAGAGTAAGAATTATTGATAAGTGCCTGACTGAGTTTTTTTCCTGATTCCAGATATAAATTACTTTGTAAAAGCCAATCAATCAATCAATAAAAGGTTATAGTGTATTGAAGCCAGGATGTATCAGATTTGTGGTGGTGAATGGTCCTGTAGGCCATTTCTGAGTGCCAGGAGGACTTTGCCATAGAATTCTAAGGGCATGAAGTGTGATGTCCAGGTGTCCCCAGGAGTAAGATTCAGTTGGATTATAGCCTGTCAAACCAGGTAGGTCTTGCTTCTGTGAAAAAAAAAGTCCTCACTTGTTTGGACATGTGGTGCTTTATCTTCCAGTTCCCTCTCCAGCCACCAGAACAGCTTGTCCTCTGCACAGGCAGCGCGTCCCCCAGGCACGCCACACACTGTAAGTGCGCACCCCTCCTGCTCAGCACACCCGGACCTCCCCAAGTGTAGGTGGGAAGCTGGTTAATTTTGATTTGATTTCATCCAGAGTCTCAGGGTTCGTTGCCATACAGCCCTGTGCTTTTTCTTAGGAGGTCAGTGGTGTGCTTGCTTTCAAGGACTTGGAGTGTGCTCTTTTCCTAACATGACACTTCTCGTCAGCAGGGACAGCTTTATTTTTTAGGCTTTGTATTTGAAACTTTTTGTGTGTGTATATGAAGAATAGGTTTCTAATTCTTGTCTACAGATACCTCTCATTATGCTGCCTCTCAGCCTAATTAAATTGCGTTCTGTTGTGTTAATGTCGTGGGGGCTTTGCTGGTGGTGGGCATTAATCAACCTTCATACCATCTTCCCCTGCTTGCAGATACATAGTTTGAGGGAAGAAATTTTTAGAAGGTCAAGAAATCCAGGCTAGGAGACTTGAAAGGGGAGGTGTCAGCTAAGGAACCCTTGATCTATTTCTTCCAAACGTGTAAAGGCATACATCCATCTTTTACTGTACATGAGTGTTTTCCCACATTTATGTATGTGTACCATGCATGTGCCCGTCACCCACAGAGTCAGGAAGAGGCTATCAGATTCCCTGGATTTAAAACTACAGGTCGTTAGGGAGCACCACATGTGTGCTCAGGACCAACCTGGGGTCCTCAGCAAGAGGTGCTCTTGATCTCTCACCAACTCTACTCTGCTCTCGTTTTTCATTATATATCTGTCTGTTTGACTACAGGTTCCCATAGAGTCTACAGAGGGGTATTGGATCCCCTGGATCTGGAACTATAGTTGGTTGTGAGCCTTCTGATCCGAGTATTTGCAATAAAACTAGGCTGCTCTGTAAGGGCTGTACACATTCTTAACCATTTGCCATCCTATAAATAATTTGTTTTTGTTGTGTGTTCAGATACAAATCATTCTCTCTGACTCAGATAGCATTGTACAGGGATTTTCAGTATCTCCTCCTTTATTTTCTCCCCATTCTTGGAGAGCTAACTGCTTTTTCCCTAAGGCTTTCCTCTTTGCCTGCAATTTGCTGTTCTTGTCGTTCTGAGTTGGGGCCAGAGATAATCCCTCTCTGGAAGAGCAGTGTATGCTCTTAGCCACTGGGTGGGTGAGTTGTTTGTTGGTTTGAGATAGTCTCAAGATACACTTCTGACTGGTCTGGAACTCATTATATAGATCAGGCAGGGCTGCAATTCCCAGAGCTCCACCTGCTTCAGTCTGAACTGCTTCGAGTAGTTTTAGGAGGCTGATGTTCAGTTTTGACTAATGGCTGAATCTGGCCCTCTGGCTAAAGGCTACAGTGAGCCAAAGACAGAGTTGACTCCCTTATCTTAATAGTCACTACGTTCTGGCGTTGCCCACTGCCTGCTCAGCCCTAGGACTGGAGTCCTTGCTGTTTCCACTCTTTATCTTTCTTGCCGTCAAAGCCCTGTGTCTTGTCTTGCATTTTGCCAGCATGCTGCTGTGGAGAGTACCCCGTCCCCGGCCACCTTCTCAGCAGCAGCAACCTCTGCCCCAAGTGCCCCGTCCTCGGGTGCCACCCTGCCTGGCAGTGTGAGCACTGTGAGCAGCCTATGCCTGGGCGGGACCACTGGGGGTGTGCCCAGCAGCAGTACCAGGGCCACTGCCTTGGTGACCTCAGGTATGTGTTCCAGTCCCTTACCTCCTCCTTCATCAGCGCCCTCACCCCCAGGCACCAAGGAGCCTTCCTTAAGTGGGTGGCCCATGGTGTTTCATTTCTCCTCTTTGTAGGCAAGGCACCTCCAAACCTGCCTCAAGGGGTGCCTCCCCTGCTACACAATCAGTACCTCGTGGGCCCTGGAGGGCTGCTTCCTGCTTATCCGGTGAGCACACAGTAGGACTCAGTCCTGGTTGGCTTGGGGCCTGGCATCTGGCAGAACCACCTGGTGGGGGCACTTCTGAGAGGTAGTTCATCTCTCCCTGTTTTGTCCACCTCATACTTGGTGTGTCTTCCTCCATCTAGACTCTTCTTAGGCAGGGTATTTTCCTATAGCCCCATTCTTGAGTGTCTGTTTGGTGGCTAAAGGCTCTGGTGTATGGTCCCTAACCTGTCCACTGACTCCCCTGCAGATCTACGGTTATGATGAGCTCCAGATGCTGCAGTCACGGCTGCCGATGGTGAGTGAGAGGTGGCTAGAGGAGGGCTTTGGCAGTTGGCTAGCAGTCCCCACACCGCCTTTGAGAAGCTGTGTCTGCTGGTGATAGGCGTGGTTTGACCACTGCCTGGGAAGTGAGGGGCTCTGAGACTGTACACATGTACACTGTGCCCCATACCAAATCCCTCCTCTTACTTTCCTGCTGCCAATGAAAGTACATTCCTGTAATCCCAGTATTTGAGAGGCTGTGGTTGAGTCCAAGATCAGCCTAGGCTGCTACACACTGGCATCCTGTCTCAAAACTAACAAGATCCAAGACATGCGGGTTGCCCTTGGAATTCAGTGCTATCCTCTTTGTCTGTTACGGCTGCACCAGCCGGTGGCTACACTCAGGATGGCAGCAGTGCTGTCTTATCCCCCAGAGAATGACTAAAAAGTGGCATCTGGGTCTAGCCTGGGACTTATTTACAGGAATGCTGGGTCTGGTGCTGCTGCCTCACTTAAGCCAGGGTGGTCTCTGTTCTGAGCCTGGCTCTAAGGGTAAAGCAGTGGGTCTGTGGGAAGGCCTCAATGACAGTCAGGGGAGCAGAAAGTGAGCAGGATTGCTTCCTGGCTAGCCAGTCTCAGCCTGGTGTTTCCTAGGACGTCTATCAGTAGATTTACTCAGACTTGGGCTACCTGCTCTTACCTAGTGCCCACTCCTCCTCGACAGCCCCTCTCAGCCCAGTGCTGCCTGTCCTCTGCCAGGCCACCCGCAGTGCACAGCTACAAGAACCACCTCCCCTCTGTCTGCTGGAGTCCTTTCGGGGGCAGAGGCTGGGAGGGCTGCTAACAGGACTAACAGGACTTGGAAAAGCTCCTGAGTAGAAGCCAAGAATAGCCTGAGACACAGCTGGATTCATGGTGCCCCGGGGCCTCTCCTGGTTCTCCACCCATACCATGGGTCGCCTTTTCCTTTTTTGCTTTTCTGTGTGTTGAGTTTTGCTTGCATGTATCTGGATGCACCATATGTGTGCCCCGTGCCCACAAGGTGGAAGAAGACCTCAGATACCCAGAACTGAAGTTACATGGTTATAAGCAGCCATGTGGGTTGCTGGAAGAGAAGCCAGTTCTCTTAACCATTGAGCCATCTCTCCAGCCCCTCCTTTTTCCATTTTAAAAGTTCTATCTTAGAGGACATCTCTAGTGAGTCCACAGTGGAAACAGCTTAAATTTTTTTCTTGAATCATGTTTTAGCCTTCTTTTGGGGCCTATCTCCTGCCTTGAGTTGCACATCTTCTGAGAAAGGGCTCCCCCTTCTGATGGACTTCCTCCATACCAGTCTCCATTTGGGTTCCTGCAAGCTCCTTGGGGCCTCCTAGGAGGCTCTCTGTGCCTCTTGGAGTTCTGGCTGAGGATTTCCTGGTTTTCCTGGAGTTTATCTAGACTTCCAGCCAAAGGATGTGAGTGCCATACCCAGCTGAGATGGTTTTGCCTGGTTTGATCTCAGAGTGAGCGCAGCCCAGAGAGTCCTGGGTAGTGTTAGTAAGGCCAGGGCAAGGCTTCTTCATGTGCAGAGCACAACTTTCTTAGCCTTTTTTCTTTGCACTTTTGCACATGCCTCCCAAGTTTGGCTCGTGTGTTCTCAGTGCTGCTGCAGCGGAATGAGCTGGGAGAGGCTGGGAGAGTTAGGGTCTTGGCCCTGTGCCACCTACCACTGCTCCTCCCCTGCCAGTTGTTGCCTCTTTCACCTTCCCTATAGCTGCTTGTTTCGAGTCTTCTTGCACAGTAAAGACCAGTAAAGTTGGTTTGGCCTGTAGGATTTACCAAGTCTCCATATATGGTATAAAAATAAGTGTGATATTGTCTCTGTCTGGTACAGAGACAGTTCGGGTTTGCCGTGTGTCCACATGTTGTCATACAAAGCAGGGGTTTTAAGCTGCACACCCCAAGGCTAGTGTCATAACTGCAACTCTCTGAACCGTTCCCAGAGTGTCCATGGGGCTGTTGTGCCAGCTGGATCTGCTCTCTGTGGGATGAGACCATTTGCTCAGTGAGTCTCCTTGGTCTCTCCTAGGATTACTATGGAATCCCCTTTGCAGCACCCACAGCCTTGGCCAGCCGAGATGCGGGTCTACCTAATAATCCATATTCAGGTCAGTTCATTCAGTGGGCAAGATTGGTAGGGGATGGGCTGACTAATCGGAGGCCAGAAGGTGGATGCAGAAGGGCTGAGGAGTCTTTGAAGGTGTGAGGACTTGAGTTGGCAGTTAGATCTATTCCTGTTATAACAGGCAGCTTGGTCTTTACCCTGACGATTCTAAGCTCAGTAGTGTTCTTCTAGGCGATGTCACAAAGTTTGGCCGAGGAGACTCCGCATCCCCCGCACCTCCAACGACACCAGCTCAGGCACAGCAGAACCAGTCTCAGACCCACCACACAGCTCAGCAGCCCTTTTTGAATCCTGCTCTGCCGCCTGGCTACAGCTATACCGGCCTGCCCTACTACACTGGTGTGCCCAGTGCCTTCCAGTATGGGCCCACTATGTTTGTAAGTATTATTTCTGCAGATTGTTTTCTTGGGCTGTGGAAACACATCCACGGTGTTTCCCAGCATCTGTCAGCTGTGGATGGGTGTAGCCACAAGCCCATTTAGTTAAGTCTGTCCTTGAAGATTGTTCAAGGGTCGGAGTCCCTTTCCCAGCTGCCTTGATTCACTGAGGAAAATACTGGTTCTTTTTGTTGTGGCCTAGTTTTGCCCAAGGCTAAGGCCAAGACTGATCTCTTTGTTATTTTTACACTACCTGGTTGTCCCACCAGGTCCCTCCAACCTCAGCGAAGCAGCATGGAGTGACCCTGGGCACTCCCCCAACCCCTTTTCAGCAGGCCAGCGGGTATGGGCAGCACACTTACAGCACAGGTAAGGGGCACTTCTAGTACTGAGGGGCACAGGCTCGGATAGACATGCAGCCCACACATGCCTCTTGTGCCCTGCCATGCCAGGTTATGACGATTTGACCCAAGGGACAGCGGCAGGAGACTACACCAAGGGTGGCTATGGTGGATCATCACAGACGCCAAACAAGACGGCTGGTTGTGGGCCTGGCAAAGGTATTGTCAACTACTCTCCAGGCTGTACCCTGGAATAGGTGTGTCCTGTCTGTCCGAGACAGGGCTACCCAGGATCTATGGAACTTCCGGAATGCCATGGGGAATAACTAATTATATTTCCTCCTAGGAGTTTCTGTGTCTTCAGGTACCACTGGCTTGCCTGATATGACTGGTTCTGTCTACAAGACACAGGTAAGAGTATACAGAGGTGGGCAGGGGTATCAGAGAAAAGTACAGTTCAGCTGATCTCATAGCCATCTGTGTTCTACAGACTTTTGACAAGCAAAGTTTTCATGCGGGAGCTCCTCCGCCTTTCAGCCTGCCCTCTGCCTTGGGCTCCACTGGCCCCCTGGCCCCTGGAGCAGCCCCTGGCTACGCACCTGCCCCGTTCTTACATATCATGCCAGCCCACCAGCAGCCCCACTCCCAGCTGCTGCACCACCACCTACCACAGGATGCTCCGGTGAGCGCAGTCATGGCGGCAGCCTCCCCACCTTGGGCCTAGGGTTCTGTTCCAGCCTTTATAGCCTTGTCTCCTCTTCTTCCTCAGAGTGGCTCTGGTCAGCGCAGCCAGCCCAGCTCCCTGCAGCCCAAGTCTCAAGCCTCCAAGGCCACCTACAACAACTCTCCGTACTGGACAAACTAGACCCTAGAAAGGAGAGGGTGGGCCCTTGGGCAGGAGAGAACAGGTAGAGCACATGCCTGGCAGTCCGGTGCCCTTCCTAGAATTCTGAGACATAACTCTGTCAGCTGAGCCTGTGTGGGAAGCCTGCCTCCCAGACCCACTGTTGTATGTAATGTATTTATGTATGTATTTGTAAATGTGACAAAAGCCTGGAGGAGCTGGGCTGTGCCTCTGGGTAGCATACAAGTGTGCTCTCCCAGCCTAGTCCAGACCCCCTTGCGGTAGCCATGTAGGCCCCACCCCTACCCTTCTGCCTTGAGGCCTTCGTTGTGGCCCCAGCTCCGTGTGCCACAGAAGAACTGGAGGTTTGAGGAGTGGGGTCAGGTACCGATGAAGAATCACGACTTCTCTCACTCACCCCTGTGACTAGTTTTTCCTCTGTAATTACTTCATACTTGTGTTTTGAGAAACTGATCCTTTTGTGTTTTGTCACGGTCCCTTTCCAACAACTCTTAATCTGGGAATAGCAGAGATGACCCATCCAACATAAGCCTGTGCCTGTCTGCCTGCACACAGGGCAGGGCCTTCTGCTTTTGGTCTGGTCCTGTCCTAGGAACTTAACTCTTCTTATCAACTGTTTAAAAAAATTTGAACTAAGTCTCAGATAATCAGCCAGTCAGCTCCGTTGTAAAGAAGTAAAAGATCTGCTTCCACCTCAGTGAAGCCTGTCTCCAAACAAAGGCTCTTCTATACCAATTGTCTCGAACCAGGTGGACAACTGTTTTCAGGGTTTTCTCTCCCCTAAACTCCACCTAATAAAGTTCTGAGAGCATGCTGGGTCTGTGTGTGCTGTGGATAAGGGATGACTTGGAGGCACTACCTCACACAGATGTCCACCCGGATTGCTGTATTCTTCCTTCTTCAGGGTTAGGCTGTTTACGTGCCTTTTAGGACCAGGGGCCAGAGAACAAGAGTACCAGGCTCTTGCTGTCCCACCCTAACTATTAGTCTGGAAAGAAGCCATGGGCCAGGGCTCAAGAGCTGCCTGTGCCTGTCCCTCCAGTCTGTAAACTGAGTTGGGGACTGGGTACAGACGATGTTCACCGCCACATCACTGTTTCTTACCAGGCTCGTAAGTAAAGGGAGCACATCTCATTGAAAATGCTTCACGTGGTCACACTCCTGAGAAGGCACAGGGATTAGCCAGTTTGAAGCTGGTCATAGCTACATGTGGGCCACCTCCCTTTTTTAAAGCAGTCTTTTAACGTCTCCAGTTTGGGGGGATTTGGGGATCACAATGATGGGACAGGATATCAGACACTTGTAGCTTAGCATCCTGGCCAGAAGGAAAGTCTCTTAACTGAAACAGGAACTTTGTCATTCACTGAGTAGGTAGGCTGATGCCCGATGTGCTTCCTCACTCCACTCCTGCTAACAGTGAACATAAAGTATCTGTCTAGGGTGGCAAAACCCTTTGGGCAAATTAAATGGCTTTGCCTTTGAATCTCTGTTAAGAGGGCAGTGAGAAAAAAGGCCAGTAGAGCCCAAATTGTGGTTTTTAACTTGTTAGCTGAGATGGTTTTTTTGTTTGTTTGTTTGTTTTTTTAACATGGGGTAGGGTTAGCCCATGGGGAAGTAGCAATACAGGCATTTTTTTTTTAATTTCATGTTTTTATTAGACAGATGGGCAGAAAAAGACAAAATAAACCACTAAAGGGGAGGTCAACACAAAACTTCTCATAAGTTAAACTGAAAAACCGTCTACATTTTTAAGAAAACTATAAAGTCAGGTGTGTCTGCTGGTTTCAGTCGAAATTGCATCTGAATCTTTTCAGCTGTAAGTGTAAACCTTAATGCGGGCGGGGGAGGGCAATGTCCCTTCGTTGGACACGATCAAACATAAGGGAACCAGCAAAGAGTGGGCAGGAGAGAACAGAGGAGGAGCTGAAAAGTACTGTGTGGCGAACAGAATTCTGGAATGGTAAGAAAAAGTGAGACTGAGAGAAGCAACAACAGAATCATGATGATATACTTTCTCCACTCAGCCTCAGGAACATTCATTCAGTGAGGCCTTGATTAGACTAAAGAGGAATCTTGTTCTTTTCATACCAAGTAACCAGCACAACTGTGCTCAAAGGTTCTACTTGTACCCACTCCATCTACTCTCTAAAGAGAAACTTTGCACACTCAAGTGCACAGGGCATGTTCTCGGGAGCCTGCATATGGGTCAGCATGCAGTGTCTGCCTTAGCTAGAACTGACCACACCCCCTTCAAAGGCTGGCTCTAGCTCCCCTGCAACACAGGCCAGCAGGCCCACAGGGCCAAGATAGTAGCATGCCCTAGAATGAGGTGCTTTAGCACCGAAAGGCTTAGTTTTAGGGTGCCAAGAGAGTAAGAAAGACCAAACTACAGCTGTCAACTTGGGGGGGTGGGAGCGGGGGGGAGGGGGGGACTCACAGCAGGTTGCGGGCCATCTGGGAGCATCGGGCTGCTTTCCCCCTGGGAAACACAGCACACAGCAGCTGTGTTTCCCAACCACTAGACTCAGGTACAGCCCCGCCCTGTGGAGATAAATAACAGACCAAACTTTTAAGAGGCCAGAGAACTGCTGAGAAACAGCATTCATTCAGGAGAATTTCAAGAGTGAATGAAAACCCTGAGATCAGAAAGGAGGAGCCATGAAGAAGGAAGAGTCAGCTTCTCTGCAGTAGAGATCTGTCTGCCCTTTGGTTCTTTCTGAGCTGTGATCTGAGGATAAAGAAGGGCCCTAGCCTTCTGAAGCCTGGTTAGAGCAGTTTGCTAAGCCAGGGGCAGAAACCCGCTTCAAATCTGAAGGCGCTAGATAGGATCTTGATGGAGCAGAGTGTGACTGACACCTGGAAAACAAAACTGCAGCAATTGCCTAGACTAGAAATTGTCAACTGGGGCCCTGCTAAAGTGAGATAAGTAGGGCCGGGTGGGGGAGCTCCAAGAACAACTTCTGCTTGCATTCTATGGCCGAGGTACATTGAAAGGAGAGAGAAGTCCAGATCATATCCAATTAGTCCCAAGTTACACACATCCACAATAATCACTATCAGCATAAGTAGCTCAATTACAACCAAAATCTCAACCTAGGATTAATACTGAGTGATTGAAAGTAGCTACTTAAGAAAATGAAAAACCTCCTGTGAGAGTATCTGAGACACTTCCTTTCCAGCAGTGGCCACCAGCAGTTCTCACTCTCCCCCTCAACAGAACCAACCAAAACTGGTATGATCTTGTCTTTGTTTTCATAACCAAAAATCAATATGCACTAACCTCCACTTCCCCCACACACACTTGTTCCACTCTCTGGTGGAAAAAAAAAAAAGTTATCCTACCTTTAAAATAAATAGCAACCAAGTGCTCGGTTCTATGTAAAGTATGAATATTTATTTCAGGCTTTAGATCCCAATCAATTCCAAAAAACAAAATCTGATTTCTCTCCTCGGAGTAGCTGCAGCCTCCATGTTGGGACGATCTCATAGAGGCAGCACATTTCATTAGACTTAGCAAGAGCAAGTCCCTGATGCCCCCGCATCCCAGCCTTAGGAAGGGAAAAACGAAACTCACCACCACAGGGCTGGACAAATGCACACGCACTAATATAAAGGAGCAGCTAAACCTTGGCAAATCGGCTTTTTTTTTTTAAGTTTGTTTTGTGGGGTTTTTTTTTTGTTGTTGTTGTTTTTTTGTTTTTGTTTTTTTTGTGTGTGTTTTCCCCCCATTTTCTTTTGCTACCCAATATATGCAGCACTTGCGGACTCCCAGTGGGCCCCCAGCTTCAAACACAATGTCTTAGACAGGCTAATTCTTCAAGAATGTAAAAAGAGACAAACGTGTTTTGCTGTGAACATTCTGCAGAGATGAAGTGAGGTGGGAGTTTGAGGGGTGGTGGCTGTTTTTTTAAAAAGAATCAATACAGTGATGGAAGGGTAAAGAATGCAAGAATTCAGACATTCTGTGGAGGGTACTTTCTCTCCATTAAAGGTCCATAAAAAGGAGCAAGCTGAGATCTGGAAGGGTCAGCAGGAGCTGTGTTGTTTTCCCTACCCCATGAGTAAGTTTTTGCTGAGGGGCCACTGTAGATCCCCACTTGCTCCCTTCCCTTTGGCCTGAGACGTCAGGGCAGTACAGGGGCACTGAAGGAACATGTCACGACTCCTCATTCCCAGAATCATCATCATCATAGCAGTCGGCATCTTCTTCCTCCTCATCTTCATCATCAATGTCGTCGTCATACAAGTCGTCATAAAGCAAATCTGAGCTGTTGTCATTGGAAGGCACTTTAGTTTTGATGCAGTACTCTGCCAGGGTTGTGGGGACCTTCACTCCATCCTTTTCTGCTTCAGCCTTAGTAGCTGAGACTTGTTTCCTGAACAGAGGATAACAACAGTAATTTTATGGAGGTCTGTGTTTTTGTTTCAAGAGGGTTTCACCCTAACTCACACTGGCTTTCAACTCTAAGCCCTCCTGCCTCTCTCCTTAGTGCTGGGATTATGAGCAAAGGCCATCGTACTTGGTGTAGAAAACCGTAGAAGACAGACTTAAACCTGACCATGATCAAGGTTCCTGTTGATCACATCCCACCCTGCAGACAGCAGACACCTGGCACCACAGCAGAGCTCTGAGCCATCAGGTGTCATGGTGGGGTCCCTGCCTGACACTTCAGCCTTTCTTGTTCATGGCTGCATGGGTCAGGTCAGCAAGCCACCAAGCATCTGCAATCTCCTGTCTTTTGCCTCCCATCTCCTGCTAAGAGTGGGAGAATCAGAAACATCAACACTGCTGGCTTCATATGTGTGTTCAGGCTTGCAGCAGGTGCTGGGAATCAAACCCAGGGCATGGAGTACTAATACAAGTGAGCTACGGGCCGAGCAGTGATCCACATGGGAGGCTGCCAGAACGTTACAGTCTCAGCCTTGACACATCCTGCTTATGCCTACCAGGAATTCCCTCAGTTATCACCTCCCTCAGAATGTGCACTGTATCAGATCAGAAGCCCTGGCTTTCTCGGTCTTTTTCATTACCCAGAGGTGGCAGATAACAGGTGTGCAGCAAATGTTGAGTGTGTATAAGTTAGAATAGTTTCTTTCCAAAAGCTTTCCGAAGCCATCAAGATTGTGGGACGGTTGCTGGAGAAACTGAAAGCATGATACCACTTTCCTCAAGCTTTAGTTTGCTGCCAGGCCTTGCATACGGATGTTCCTGTGGCCTCTATAGGGTTGTAACATTACATGAACCAACCACCTGCAATTATTGTTGTAAATCATTCACTCCAATGGCACAGCATGGTGATGTATACTGTAATCCCAGCACTTGGGAGGCAGAAGCTGGCCCTGTGTTCAAGGCTAGCCTGGCTTAACCTGGTCCCCACAACACCCACAAGACAACCAACCAACCAAAACAGAAAATACCACAAGTTTTGAACTACTTTCTAGTGAGCTCACTTTTTGTTGTTTATGTTTCTGTTGTGGGTTATTTTTCAAAAGCTAAGTTCATTAGTGACTACTCCATAAATCTAATTGAGAAATTGTTTTAAAGTAAACAGGGCATTAAAATTTGAATTTAATCCCCTAGCTCCAGAATGCACATGGTTTGCCTTACCTAATGATCTCAGCGTATTCCTTGTCTTTTCCTTTACTGTCCCTCCACTTCCTGAACATAACTGAAGCATCCACATTGGCTGGAGAAAAGGTGTTGGGCTCATTAAGCAGTGAGATTACACTTAACAGGATAGTCCTGGAAAGGAGAAGAGTCCGTGGTAAAAAAAAAAAAAATCCATAGCCAGAAGTACAAGGTTCTAAGAA